ACATTTCAAACGTTTTATCATACGCAACATAAAGTTTCTTAGACATCTTGAAATAATTTTCAGGAAATCAAATAAATATTATAAATTGTCCATCTTGTCAAACTTTTCTATAATATATTAGAATATTCTTTAGACTTTTTCTTTCCGTGTAGATGAAATATCTGTCCGTAAATAGTTCAGACGGTTTTAACGAGGAGAAATGTTTCACTTTGCCGTAAAAGAGTTCTCCAATAATAAACTGGCGCTGTTTGTCGTTTTTTGTATCGTTAATGGATACCAAATATTCTGTTTTTATTATGTTATGTTTTATATTATGTTGTATTTTATATTATGCTCTCGACGTCTTCGACGTCTTGTACCTTACAATAATTCTCTACTCGCCATGTGCCTGTTTGAACAGGATTTTTAAACTTTTTGTTTAACAGATTGAATTAATCGCTCAAATATTACTCAAGTCAATTTTTTCTATCTCCCGATTGGCAACACGTGACTGCAATACTGGTTGTGAACATTAACATCGTCCATGAACATATTGTAGTTACTAAAAGCATTTGGAAAATGGATGTCAACCTTTTCTTTAACCTCTTTACTGTATCGTTTTACAGAAGCTAAAGGGGTCATACCTGGCGCTGTCGATAAAATTGATACGTGCTTCGAATCTTTAACGGTAATGAAATTAATCCTACTGTTTTTATCAAATTTGACAGCGTGCGTTCCCCTGGAAGCATTTTTCGGAATATCATCTTTTTCTCTTATTCTATTATCTCGGACTGTACCAGTTGCACGACGACCCGCGTTTTTTAAGTTCACCAGCTAGTCAGGACAACAGAATATATTGTCAAAATATTCATGATAGTTCAACAGTTTTTTTGGAGGGATTTTAAATAGAAGCGGTTCAAGCATCTGACTTCCCAGAGCACAATTTGCCAAAACCGCATTATTACTGGAATTTTTTCCACAGTAAATGTCACAATTATATAAGTAAGCAGATGCACGACATTAACCCCACATCTTGATTCCGAATCTAATGAGCTTTGTTTTGATGAATTGTTTTAGAATACTTCTGCCAAAGTATTTGATCATTATTTCATCAATTGATACAGCCGTGCAAAAAATTCCAAATTGTACAAGGTTTTTGCGAAATATGTTTAATATTGAACTAACTTGCCAAAATCTTTTATTTTTACAATTACTATCTTCAAACTTGTAAAATTTCATTTTGGATTTGATTCTTTCAAAATGGTTCCTGCTCATTGCTGATGAAATAATATCAGTCTCCAAAAATGAATCCTTGGACCAATAAACTCTTTGAGACAATCTTCTATTAAAAGTTGTGAAGGATAATAATTCCTGAAAATTTATCAAACTATTTAAATTTATTTTGTAATCCCTAAATTTTTAAACTTTAATATAACTAAAGAAAATAAAGAAAAGGAATCAAATTATCAATTAATAAAAGGGTTACCTACGGAAGATGCTTTGGGCGCCAGTACTTTCTTGGAACACGAAACAAAGAAAGAAAATATTTATTTATTTTAGAAACATAACGGGACATGCCCTTTCGTACACAAGTACTGTTAAAACTAAAAAAATTACAATATAGTTTGTGTAACTAAATCTCGGTTGCCACTTTATACTACATAGTTCATTTAGTATTCAAAACAATATTGAGTTATTACCGCATAATTAGTTCTATGGAATGCCACCGAAAATAGTGAATATCGTCTGGAAAACATTCTAGGGACAGATAAATTTACCATAGAAAGGAGAGAGAGACAGAAGATAGCTTCATTCATAAGTCTGTACATGAAGGTCATATCAATAAAATAAAAACGCGGAGTTATCAAAGGTATATTTAAAACTGCCCTTAACTCCCCATAATCATGTGTTCGCATGTCAAAGGGAATATTGAACATCCTCGCTGCGAATCTCAGAAACTTATTTTGAACTCGTTCGATTCTAATTATTAGGAAGACGTAGAAAGGTGACCAAATAATGCATGCATATTCGATAATCGTCCTGACAAGCGGCAAATCCCAAGGATTTGGAGGCCCTTGAGACAGTGTCAGATATATGATCATTAAAAGCAAGATTATTGGTAAAGACAACACCCAAATCACGCACCCTCGCTACTTTTTCCAATGTATGACTATCAATAGTATAATTATTTAACATAACTCTACCTTTGGAAAATGAAACAGTGTAAGTCTTTTTTATATTTATACTTAAATGATTATTAACACACCATTTTTGTAGTTTATTTAAATCTTTTTGCAAATCAAAGGTGTCATTTTGAAAGGTAAATCGATTAATTACTTTGTAACATTTAAGGTCATCAGCATATAGTAAAAACGAGGAATGCCTGAATCCCTGTGATACCCCTGAAGTTGCTAAAAAAGGTTCATTAATTTCACCACCAACCCTTACAACCTGATACCTGTCAGAAAGATAACTTTTGAAAAAATCTACCATATTTTCAGAAACTCCTATTAGTTTCATTTTATTTAATAGTATATTGTGGTCTACCCTGTCAAACGCCTTCGATATATTGATAACAAAGTAATTAATTATCGATAAACGAAGCCACCAGGCTAATTATCAATCAATTAATTTGATCACAAAATAAAGAAATCTAGAAAAACATATTAATTGTCAATAAACAAGGCCATCAGGATAATTATTGATCAATTAATTAGTTAATCGCGAAATAAAGGAGACTGAATTTAAAAATCAAAAGAAATCACAATCAAAATCTTTCGGCATTGCTGACTAGCTACAATCCTTCGATGGAAAATAGTAGATGGGCGAGTTCGTTATTTAACAAATTAAACAAATATTTAAAATATCCAAAAATTAAATCAAGAAAATTTAACAATAAGAAATTAATTATTTATTCAATCAGTTCGAATTTTTGAGGTTAAGGCATAAATTAAATTAAACAGTCATTTTGACAATAATCGATAATTTTGAGGTTTAACAAAATTGACGTGATTCTATATAATATCAATATTAATTACCGAGACATTTAAATTTGTCAAACTGAAAATTGAACAAATATTAAACTTTTTATAAAATAGAATAAGGATTCTTTTTCAGTTCGAGACATAAAGGATGGACAATACGATTAAATTATAATTTCGACTTTTATTCAGATCAATGAAAAGAAATAATAAATGAATGATATCTCAATGAAAATTAAAGATTTGAATTATTAAGTTAAACCAAAAATAAAGAAATCCAGTCTCAAAAATCAAGAAAATAGAATCAATTTTGAAATATCATACATAAAATAAAAATTAAATTTGTACCAGAATATGTCAATACACGGCCAACGAATTTCCAATTGATAACTCCTCTCGAAATTCCCCAATGGTTTTGACCCAGATTCTCCCAGATTATTCAAAAATTGAATAAAAAAAATAAGACCAAAAAAATGGTGACAAAAATAAGACGACTTGTCTCTCACGATTTCACACAAAGAATGAATAAAATGGCGTATTTGTTTATCGCCTAGGAAATTCGTTGTCAACATAAAAAAAAGAAAGTCACATCACAAAACTAGATTCACGCGACATAAAAAGGAATTTTAATTGTTTAGTCCAGAAATCTTCTAATTCTTTCACGCTGATTGGTTGGTCCAAACAAAAAGGAAATTTAAATCTTCTTAAAAATTAATTCTTCAATTTTGATTAAAAAATATTGGATTCTTGTTATTCTTCAATAACAAATTAATTCGAAAAGAATTATTTTTGACGCAAGATGGTAAATTATCAAATCCTCTTCCATATAAAATTAGACGTGGTAAATATCAATTCTTGTAATCCCAGAAGACTAAGCGACATTTACGCACGAAGACTGGACGACTGAATATCTCCCTATCCTAAACTTACATTGATACAAGAACGTGAAAATTATAGGGCTCAATAAGAGTTTCGAGCAAAGCTCTCAATGTATGATAAAGCCTTCCAAGGACAGAAAATTGTTAAGTATTTCTCCAGGAAACGAAGTCGATCATCAAATTTTTAAAGTAGTAAAAATACAATAATATTGAGTGGCATCTTAAAAATATCCGAATTCAAGGGTACGTCAAAAGAATTTATTTAAATTTATAATAATTTATAATATTTTTTATTTATTTAATTGGATTTTAATCCACAATAATCAAAAAATTCAATATATACAAAAGATAGGTTATGTTTGACCAGCGGGAAAAATTCAAAAATATATAATTTCGGCAAAATAGAGAAATACAAATAAATAATCCAAAAGTTTCTTGAAATCTTTAAGCTTCTTATCTTCAGACAGTTGACTCGACAATTACAGATATTATTTTACATGAAACGAAAGAAAGGATAACAATAATTAGTTTCTAAATTTAGATTTAATTAAGTTTTTGTCCTATATCTCGAATTGTTGTGAGATCATGGTGTAATTTTTCTAACGCGAATAAATAAAATTTTGAATGATAAAAGCTCGAAATAATTTTGGTATAAAACTTTGTGAATTGTAAAATAGTAAATTTTACAACTTTTAAATTTCACAATTTAAAAGTTAAATTGAGAACTACTAAAATAATCTAGAGCATAATTCGATCATTTACCGAAAACACCTTCAATGCGCTTCTCTCTTTTGACGACAAGAGGGTAAGATATTGAGTAGATGAGATGGTGGAGGTAAAGCTAGATCAGAAACAAGAAACTCAAGTTAGCGGCGTTCACTCGATGTTAACACCGAGTTACCGAAAATCCAATTAGCAATAATAATTATTAACATTTTGTTAGAACTATCCAATGGGAATTAACTCGGTGTTAACACCAAGTTAGGATAATATTACGTAATTTTACAGGGTAATATTGCCATTAGGCGGAAATTTTAATGTGACTACTTGGATAGTTGAAAGCTAATTCAAATTTTATTTTTTTCTAAGTTTGCATGTTGTATCAAATGTAACTAAATATGATTTTAAAACATTTTTATCAAAAAGAAATTATTTTTTCTAGATGACCATTTACCACAATCTGGTGAAGAAATGGACAAACAGCGACATAAGACGCTTGCTTATGAGTACTTATGTCATCTTGAGGAAGCGAAAAAGTGAGTAAGAAGTATGTTTTGGTTGTAGGTTACTTTTTAAAACGTAGAAATATTAAAATAGGTTTCAACTTACTTAATATTATGTAATTAATATTGCTGTAATGAAGATGTAAAAATTCTCTTGTACTGAACGTTAATAAGTGTTTTTAACGACAAATGCCAACCAGATTTACTCTACTTTGTCTGATGATATTTGAAAGAATGCAGTTGTTAACATTGTCGCTTTATCCAATGAGATGGATAGGACAGCTTTTGAGCATGTGTAAGTGTGCGAGCTTGTTGCACTATCAGTTCTTGTTCAAGAAATGCGCGCCGCATTTCCTCTAATGCAGTCTCTTTAGTATTTAGTAGTTTTTCATATTGTTGTCTTTCCTCGATTTGTCGTTGTTTCTGTCTATCTATTTCACTTAGCGCCTTGGATAATTTCTGCTCAAGGGTTTCCTCCTGGCTCTTAGACATGTTTTCCACTTGGAGATTCGAATTATAGTATTCTAAATAAAAACTTTCTAACCTCCTCCTTTGATACTCTTAATTTTCCATTACCAAAACAGAACTCTCAACATATTTAAACAAAACCACTATAAAAGAAACTTAACTTTACTAAATACTCGTATAGCGATCAAACACGTGTAACCACGCCGACGACTCGCTTTACAAGCACTTTTTAATCCTCGAATATCTTTTACATCCTTATCACTTTTAATCATCCCATTTCTGATTTATTAGAAGGATAAATCACTTAACACCATTATTAAGATTAAAGCAAGATATAACGTTTATTAATATTAAAAATATAAAACTTATTTCCGACAATCAATTTTATCGCAGCTAACTGACAACTTTCATATCGTACCGTGAACGGCGCATATGACATATTATGACAGATCTGGATCTGTCAACTATTTCTTTTCATGTAACTGTAGGTACTTCCCCTAAATCGTACTTAGACCTTCTCATTATGTCACGAATTATACTTCTACGGTTAAAAAAGAAGAAGCATATGGGTTTAGTCTAATTTTTTTTAAATTCTAAATATATTTTAGGTGGATGGAATCATGTTTACGAGAAAAACTTCCCCCAAGTACGGAATTGGAGGAGAATTTGCGAAATGGAGTATATTTAGCTAAACTTGGACATTTTATGGTTCCTGAGGCTCTTCCATTAAACAAAATTTATGACATCGAGCAGAAACGATATAATGTTGCTGGTTTGCAATTTCGACACACGGACAATATAAACCATTTTTTGAAAAGTTTGAAAATAACAGAACTACCTATAGTAAGTTACTTTTTTACTATCTAAAATTTTATCAATATATCTCAGATACTTTGAGCTTGTACTTAAGTTGCTGTTTACTAAATATTTTTGCTATTTAAGAATAAGATGTAGTTTTTCTGATAGACTAAACAGAAAGTTAAAATGTTTTTTGAAGTTTTAGAAATAACAAGTTAAACCTGTTTCTAGAACAATAACAATAATAGTTCACTATTAGAATGATTTTTATGCTTTTCCGGTATAGCTCCATGCAAATGCATCATGAATTTCTTCGAAAAACTTTCGACAGAGTGCACTTTTTAATTTCTCAACCCATAATTTCGCATAATAATCAGTTTTTCAGCGCATAATCCAGTAATTTTCAGCGTCATAAAATGCTGTCCTTGTAATTATTAAATGCAAAAGTATTTTTATAAAAGTTTTCTTATTTTAATTAGGCTTTCCAACCTGAAACAACAGACATTTACGACAAGAAAAATATGCCAAGAGTTATATATTGCATTCATGCATTAAGTTCGCATTTATTTAAATTGGGCAAAGCTCCTCAAATTCAGGATTTATATGGAAAAGTAAACTTTACAGGTGTGTGTACATAATTTCTTCAAAAAATTGTTAATCAGTTTTAAACGTTTGTGCTATTTATATAATATGCAAATTGTAGGGAAACAATGAAATAAATAATCCTGTATTTTATTGTTTTTAATTTAATAATATTTATATATATTTTTTTGATAATATTTATTGTTTATGTTAATATTTTTATAAACTCGCTTCGGACCACTTGTGCGAATGTATTTGTTTTATTATTTTCCTAGAATTTAGAAAATGTGTTGTTTAAGGATAATTATTCTTTAAAAGTTTTATTATTTAAAATTTATCATTAAATGTGATTTTTATTTCTTAATAGAGGATGAAATTAATGCTGTTAGTAAAGAATTAAAAAAATACAATATTCAAATGCCACTTTTTCAAAAAATTGGTGGTCTATTGACTAATAATATGGAAGAAGACACTGCTGCATTACACGCTGCAATAATTGCTATCAATCAATCTATTTTCAATCAGGTAATGAAGTTTATAAAATTGTATATACAGTTTAATGTATAAATGATCCTGATTTAAAAAAATTTATATACTTAAGTGTTTCTTTGAACTTTAATTTCAATTTTGCGATCAGTTTTAACATTTGCGCTAACGACCCAAAATTATTTTCTGCTTTTTTTTCATAATAAACTGAACAAAATTAAACCTTAAGAAATAGAAAAGACAATTTTCTGAAAGTGGTTCAGATTTTTTATTTTTCTTTTAATAGGTACTGAAATGCATCCTATATAGTATCCTATACGTTAAATTATTACGGTAACTTTGTCGTATGTAAAACAACTAATAATTTTGTTTTTAATGTCGTAATTACGCATCGGGTTATAGTATTTGTTAAGTTTAATATTTAAATAGAAAAAAATATTAAAAAATGTCATTGAAACGTATTTACTTTTTTCTTGCTTATTTTAAGGATCAAGATGCAATGCTAACCCAAATGCAAACTAAAGATGCTCATTTAAACAATATTAAGGCTGACAATATAAACTGCTATTACGAAGCTTTAGTTACAGCAAAGCAGATGAAAGCAGAGGCTGTACTCAATAGGGTAAGTATAAAAAATGAACTATTTTTAAGTAATCTTTAACCACGCCAGAAACTTTTAGCAAACTTGCAAAACTTACAGTGGATTTCATTAAAGATAATTAACATGTGTTTTGTTTGCAGTCATTTAATGAAAGTTATGTACCTGATGCATATGATGAACTTCTTTCACAAGTCGAAATTCAGGGGCACATAAATCAAGTTAATGGTGAGTATTTATTCTTTAATAAAGCATATTTAAAAAAATTTAATTTTTATTGTTCAATACTTGTATGTTTTGCTTTCTTTTATAGTGATGAAATTGACTATAATTATGATCATTTATTACAATTCATTACATTTCTTATACCTATATTTAAATTAAAAAATTATATATTAATCAACTGTACACATTCCTGTCTTTTTTTGCAGTTCAATTTGCTTTACAAAATGTAAAAGAATCTGTATGTTATGACAACAAATCTTTAATATCTGCATTAAAAGATCCAGTGCTTCAAATTGCGGTAAAATAATTAATACTGGTTTATAGAAAAGTGTCTTACCGACTATGTTTTAGATGTTAGTGATAAAATAATGTTATCACCTAAACTATTTTGTAGGCTTAAATTTGCATTTTATTTGTACTCTTGAATCTTGCAAATCTAAAAATTACTTTTCAAGAAAACTACTTGCTTGTAAATAATTGGTCGAATCTACATCTAATCCTGCCTTAACTGGACGAACCTTTCACTATTTTACATCTTACAACTTAATTAATATATTTATCAATTATTTAATTAATCAATTATTTATCAATTATTTAATTATTTAATTATTATTAATATATTTTCAACAATTAATGTGAAACTTTAGTTCAACTAACAAGAAATATTAATATTTTTAACAAATCATTAAAACAAATATTTATCATGAAAAAATGTAATCGGTAATTCATTTTTTCGGTAGATTTATTAAAAGTTTACATTAATCTTTCTTGCAAAGGAAATAATGATCATGGAAATTTTAACCTTTTTGTAATTGCTTACAGAATATTTCTTACGAGAATGTTGCTATTTACAAGGAAAAACTTGTCAAATTGATAAAAAACTCGGAGTGGGAAATAGAAAATTATCAGTATTTACAAAAAATTCTTCAAGAAGCCGTGAATGAAGCAAATATTGTTTCCTTGCAGATGATCAAGAGTTAGTTCTTCATTAAAGTTTGGCTTATTCTTTTTTCAAAACACATAAACAATAATTTATTTATTTTCAGAAGAGAAAGTTTTAAATGAAGTAAATCAAGCTCTACAAAATGATGACTTTCAACAATTTTGTGAAGCTTTATTTAATCCTTCTTTGGGTTTGTTAAATAAAGTTGATGAATTTGCTTTGCCTTTATTTTTTGAAGAAATGAAAATCGATTGTACCGAGTCGCAAGTATGATGATTAAATTTTATATATTTTATTCATTTAATAATACAATAGGAGAGAGAGGGCCCTAAGAATGCAAAATTTTAGTTTTGTTCGGAATTCTTCACGCAATTAACAAACGAATAATTAAAAAAATTTAATTTTTATTACTTTTAGCTATAATCACTAAATTTAAAATTTTTAAGTTGTATAATGGCAACTTGAAAATTTTATGTTAAAATATAAAATTCAAATTCAAATACAAGAAATTGAATTTTAAGAACGAAAGTTTATAAAATACTTTGACAAAATGACGCCTATGACGTCAGTGCCACTAAAGGGGTTAAAAGACAATGAGAACTCTGGGCACTCTATCCAATAAAAGAATGCTTTGTGCAATTTCTTCATTTTCAGTTGATGTTAAAAAATTTTATTTTACAGAGAAGTGTATCTTATACAGATATTGTGGTCAGCATTCGAGTTTTGTCAACCATTGCAGCGATAACAAAAGCTATAGAAACAGGAAGTGCTATATTAACATATCAAGCCTTATCTTGTCCTGAAGCACATGTCATGGTAGTATAAATTTTATCTTGATATTATTGAATGCAAATAACAATTTTTACTATTATATTTGGCTCAAAATTTCTGAAGTGTGCCACTAATTTTTCGATGGAGATTTCATATAAATAATTTTATAGTATTCTAGTACAAAAATATGACCCCAAAGTTGATTTTGCCAAAATTTTAATTTTTTTAAGAGTTATTATTTACAATAGAACGGTAGGAAAACATTTTCCAATAATTTGAATTCAGGGCTGCCACGCAATCTGAAAACCTGTAAAACCTGGATACCTGGAAACCTTTTCAATGAATTTAACTAGAAATCGTCTTAAAGAACGTAAATTTTTGAGAAATTTTAATTATTCCAATTCTTCAGAAATTAGTTAAATTTTTTAATATATATTTTTAATTGATTATTAAAAATAATGGATTTATACAAGAATTTTAATTAAAAACACTAAAAGAAATTGAATTTTGAAGCAACCACTTCTTAGAAATTCAATTATTTCCAACAATTTTAATAAAATTCATGGCAAAATTCCAATTATTTTCAAAAACTTCCCTCAATTCAATGATTTTTAATAAATCTACTACTTTAATAAAACTTTTCAAAAGAATTCAATTACACAGGACCACAAAAATTTTTTTTAAGAAAGTATTGACCGGACCATGTTTTTTATATGTCTTTTGGGTCGCTGAATTCGAATCCGAACTCAGTTTTGTGCCATCACGTCAAGTTTCTTCAAAATGGCGGATCCAATATGGCTGTCGAATTTTTTAAAAATGTATCAAATTTACTTGAAATTTGTTACTCGGGGGTTCTTGGGGTCGCTAAATACGAATTTCACCTTAGTTTTTCATAATTCAAAATGGCGGATCCAATATGGCTGACGTATTTTAAAAAAATTTATCAGATTTATTCGAAACTTGTTACTTGGGGGTTTTTGGGGTCGCTGAATACAAATTTTACCTTAGTTTTTAAAAATCCAAAATGGCAAATCCAATATGGCTAACGAAATATTTAAAAATTTATCAGTTTTTGAATTTTTGACAACTAAGGTGAAATTCGTATTCAGCGACCCCGAAACCCCCCGAGTATAACGTTTCAGGTAAATCCAATAATGTGTTTGAAAATTGGTCAGCCATATTGGATCCGCCATTTTGAATTTTTGAAAACTAAGGTGAAATTCGTATTTAGAAAACCCAAAAACCCCCTAGTAACAAGATTCAGGCGAATTGGGTGAATTTTAAAAAAATTGACGCCATATTGGATCCGCCATCCTAAATTTTAAACATTTACGAGAGTTTATAATATTACAACTGTCTTGTTATTTCAGTTGTCAAGTCAGTTAGTTTAAAAACTCTGTATCAGTCGGACGTGTCCCAGTTCAAATAAATAATATTTAATTTAAATCTTTTTAAGGAGTTACATTTTATTTCGTCAACAATTTTTAATAAAATTTTAATCAAATTTCCGAAAAATAAACTTATGTTTAAAAATTTTATTAAAATTTGTCAAGAGAATTTAATTATTTAAAAATTTGTTGATAAAAGTCTTTATAAAAATTCAATTTTAAGAAACATTCAATTCTTCAATAAATTATTTATTTTTGTATTTAAATAATTGAATTCTCCTAGATTTTTCTAGTAAATATTTATTTAAAAATGAATTTCAGTTAAAATTTTAGATTATTATTGAATATTGAAAGCAATATAGCGTAAATTTTTTAAAATAATTGAATTTTTAAAATGTTTCAAATTAAAATCTTTTAGAAAATTTGAATTTTTCATACTTTTAATTAACAATTCTGCAGAATTTATTTTTTAAAAACGTTTAATTGAATTAATTCTTTAATTCTTGAAGTTTTTATTTTCTAATATATATTTAATTGAAGAATGTCAGAATAATCAAAATTACGTAAAAATTATTATTGAAAATAATTGAATATTTACGAAGAATTTTATTATTTTTGAAAATAATTGAATTCTTGCGGAGAATTTTATCAATTTTGAAAATAATTGAATTCTTGCGAAGAATTTTGTCAATTTTAAAAATAATTGAATTATTTCGAAGAATTTTATTCAAATTTTTTGAGAATAATTGAATTCCTGAGAACAATTTTATTATCTATAAAAATAATTAAATTCTTGACAAGATTTTTAAGGAAATTTAGAAGAATGTCAAAATAAATCGAAAGTTTAGGTAAAATTGAATTGTAAACAAATGGATTTAAAAATTCTTAAAGAAGAACTTTTCCATAAATTATTTAAAAAATTTGTTTTAAAAAAGAATTTTAGTTTAAAATTCTAGAAATAAAGAATTGAATTGAAATCAAAATAATTTTGAAGAAATTACAGTAACAATATTTTTATAATATAAAATTATGATAGTATCAAGTTGTAATGATTATAAAACATGAAGAAAGCGATCACTCCGAGTCTACGACTTGTCTATCTTCTTGTTTTATAATAATATTCTTATATGTAATTGAATTTAAAATTTTTGAATATTTTAACCTTTAAAGTGCTATGCCGGTCTGACAGACCGCTATAAAACTTTTCTTTGCTTGTAACTTTTTTTCAAAGTAAGATACGAACTTGAGCTTTTCGGTAGCTTCATATTTTATAAAAAAATCTGTTAAGTGACAACTTTTTCAAAAATTTTTTTTCTTTAAATTTTGTATTGTAAAATATGTAAAAATAAAAAAAATTGAATCAAATTAATGTAGAAATGACTTTTTTATGTTAAAAAGTGAAAAATATTTACAATAGTTGTCTTTAGAAAATTACAAATTACTAAAAAACCGTAAAAAAGGGAATAGCGGTCTGACTGACCGGGGGTAGCACTGAGCGTGATTTTTCGGCACATAGCACTTTAAAGGTTAATTTCTGTAAAAAAATAATGATTAAATATTCATTTAAAAACGAAGTTATTGATGTTTTTGAGTAATTTTACAATTAAAGAAATTCGTAAATAAATGTAATAGAACAGGAAAAAAAGTCGTTTTGTCTAAAAATCAGAGAGTTTGGTAAAATTAAGAATAACATTAAAAATTAAAATTAAAAATAAAATTTTGTAAAATATTAATGTAGTTTTAAAAATCTGGAAAAATTACGTTTCCTAACCTGGAAAACCTGAAAAAGTCAGGGAATTTGAAATGAGGAAAAGCGTGGCAACCCTGAATTTGATTTCTATGAATTTCTTAAATCTCTTAAATGCTTCCTTAATTCTAAAACAAGGAAATCGCGATTTCTCAAGTGAATTTTCTCTCTTCAAAAAGTTCCATCAAGTAAAATTTTTTGCAAATTTCCAAACAATTTGTGAAATAAAAGTTTACGAAGTAAACTTTTTAAACTAAAAGTTTAATATTGATTGAATATGACATTTGCAAAAACTTTTACTTGGCGGAACTTTTTGCATGAAAGATGTTTTTGTTGTAATAGAAAATTAACTAGAATTTTGTTATAGGATTTAGAAGAAGAGAATAAAATAAAATATTTTCAAGCATTAACGGCGGTATGTTATGAAAAACAAATATCAAATGATAGATGTCGACTATTAACATACAATGATATACAAGAAAGTGTCGATCTCGTAAATCAACAATGCTCAAATGACAATGAAGGTGAGCTTCTGAAATGCAATTAAATAAAATAATTATTAATGATAATTTTTATAAAAAAAATAGTTATTTTCGTATTAAGAACTATGAATTATATTATGTTCCTTTCAGTTTTGGAGGCATTACAACATTTAAATGCAGCTGTAAAAAGTAACAATCGTGACGAAATGATGAGAATTTTGCAAAGCTCATTATTAAGATTAAAAAGACTTGTGTCATATTCTGATACTTCTCTCTACTTAAAGATATTTAAAAAATGCCTTGAAGAAAAACATTCAGATGGATCCGAACTGTGGTTAGAAGATGTTGAAGAAGTCACGGATACGGTGGCTAAAGAAGCAAAAAATGTTCAATCAGGTAATGTAATTGTTCGCGCTATTCCGATAATTCCTATAAAAGTGCCAATTTTGTACCTGTAGGATGAAAATAAATTTGATAATCTTTTTATTTGCAGCATGTGCCTTATTATCCCAAATCCATAAAGGATTAGAAAATAACTTTTCTTTTACTACAAATTGGTTGAAAATGATTGGTTTACAAATTCTAGAGAGAAATGAAGAAAAATATAATGCAGCTTTTGTAACGCTTTTTAAAGAAAAGGTAAATTTTTAATTTGATTGTATGAACTTGGTTATTTAGCGTAATATTTATCTTTCACTGTATTATTTATTTGTTTGCAGCAAAAAAATCGTAGTTGTCCTTACGTTCGTTATATTACGTCTAAAGGCAATGAATCATTTTTAGACTTGGAAAATTTTAGTTACACTTGGGACCAACCATCAAACGAAACAGGATCATTCTACTTCACGTACGAAGACATTCGGGTAAATTAAAATTATAACTAAAGTTTCTGTTCCTAAGTGCAGGTTTCGCACTCATCAATTAAAACCTAATATTTACTGCTTTTTTACGTTATGCTACTATTTTGGTACTTTTTTTGGATTTCACCCACTAAAAGCTACTATTTCTGTTTTTTTTTTGAGAATTTTTCAAAAATTATAATGAAATTCTTTAAAACGATTCAATTATATTAAAAAAATATTCGAAATTTAATTATTTTCAATATCTAGTATTTTCATGAAATTTCGCAAAAGAATTTAATAATTTAAACAAAATTGATAAAATTCATCAAAAATTCAATTATTTTCATAAATAATAAAATTTCCATAGAAATTCAATTAATTTAGAATAACATTTTCAAAAAAATTTTTAAAATCAATTATTTAACCAAATTTTTATACAATTCTGCAGAATAATTCAATTACTTTCACTAATAATAACATTTTTCATGAAAATTCAATTGTATTTCGCTGCCTCGTCCTCAAGATCAAAATTATGTAGTCACGTTAGTCACTATTTGTTCCGCCACAGTATTTCATATTCTAAGATTTTTTAGCGCCACTCTTAGGTGTCGCTGCCGTCTCTTCCGCTTCCTGTCATTACGTTATTTCTGTGTGCTCCACGCCACATCGTGTACCGTGAAAAATAATTAAAAGTAGTGAAAAATGGGAAAAAATAACAAACAATTACTACGGAAGATATAGAAGATGAAAAAGCAGATGAAGAAAAACAAAAAGAAAAGTAAGAAAAGAGACTCTTCTGCGTCATCATCCGAGACAAGCAGCTCCAGCTCCACAAGCAGTTCTATGTCGAAAAACAGCAGCCGGAAAACAGCACATAAACCCAGATCGCGTAGTCTTATCCGAGACTCCAGGTCTAGAGGTAGGTCACGCCGTAAATCAGAAAACTTGAACAGAGAGAGGTCCCGAAGAGACTCATCCAAAAGCTCATATGCTTCAAATCAAACTCGACGAGGTGCGTCCCGCAGCCATGACAGTTCATTAGACGAACGAAATGACAGTGGAAGGCGCGACCCGAACGAAGTAACAACGAGCAGAGAAAGTTCCCCTGGCGCCGCTCAGTCTCGTAGCCCAAAAGCTACATCACCTCCTGCCGTGCCTTCTCATACGCGAAATCCAAAGCAGAAAAACCTGCAATCACAGGATAGTCAAAAAGATAGCTCACTGCAAAAGCGTGATAAGACACAGTCGGTAAAGAAGAGCACCGATAATCAGCAATCAAACGACGGTCAAAACGACCCACAATCGGTAAAGAAGAACACGGATATGGATGATGCTGACTTAATACAGCTAGGTGGCGACCCCTTCGATAATAAAAAAGTCAGTCCGCCGATTAACAAAACGCTGGCAACAGTGTGGCAAAAAATCATGCAAATAGGAGTGTCAAAAGAAATTCGCAAAGAATTAGTCAACAAACACCCTCCATCCGAAAATTGCGACATGATGGAAGCCCCTTCTTTAAACCCAGAATTAAAAAATATCATTGGTCAATCAGGGGTAAAAAAGGATCAATTCCAAATAGTTTCACAAAATCAACTTGGAGCAGGCATAAGCGCTCTCGGAACAGCGGTAACAAAACTCTTGACTCTCCAACAGCCTGAAGATCAGTCAAACCTCAAATGTCAGCTGATAAGTGAAATACTGTCTTTTCTCAGTGATGCAGGAAAACTCTTTACCGATTTACATCATGAAGTATCGCTCACCAGAAGGAATTTTATTACTTCTGGAAGAGACCCGAAGCTAAAAATAGTAGCAGATAATTCACTGGTTGACAGGACTCTATTTGGGGAAAAGTTCGCTGAAATGTATAAAGCAGCCAAAGAAGTTGAAAGAGTGGGAAAAGAACTCTCACGGACAACACAAAAACCAGAAAGAAAAAAGGCATACCAGCAACCTCGCTCGCGACAGACCACACCAAGATCCAGTGATTTAAACTGGAAGGGCCCCCCAGGAAGAGCTACTCGAACTCCAGACGGGGAGGGCCTCGGACAGCTCGGACATCGCGCAACCAGCAGCAGAGGAATTAAAGGTAAGCAAAATAGGCGGACGTCTATCTAATTTTCTCCATGCATGGAAGAAATTAACGTCAGACCAATTTATTCTAAATTGCGTTAAAGGGTATAAACTACCTTTTGTAGAAACACCCACACAAAATAAAATTCCCAGCAACGCAGCTCTGCCACATGAGGAATATTTAAAAACAATTAACGCAATAAATAAATTAGAAAACAAATGTGCAGTCGCTAAATGTAAACCATTGAAAGGTCAATACATTTCCCCCTTTTTTCTAAGAGAAAAACAAAATGGCGATGATAGGTTTATTCTTAACCTCAAAAGTCTCAATTCATTCATTAACCCTCCACACTTTAAAATGGAGGACATAAAAACAGCCCTAAGATTAATTAGGCCCAATTGCTATTTTGCATGCATTGATCTGAAAGACGGTTACCTTCATATTCGAATTCACAAAAATTATAGAAAATACCTAAGATTCTTTTTTGACGACAAATACTATGAGTTTACAGCCTTACCCTTCGGACTCTGCACTGCACCCTACATTTTTACAAAAATCTTAAAACCAATAGTACAAAAGCTTAGGGAACTCGGAGTTCTACTAGTAGTATATCTCGATGACATACTAATAATAGCTAGGTCAGAAGTAGAATGCAGAGCAAATGTAAAACTTGCAAAAAACCTGTTAGAAGAATTAGGATTGGTGATCAACCAAGAAAAAAGCGCATTAACACCTTCAAAAAATTGTAAATATCTAGGTTTCCTCCTAAACAGTGTGTCGTTTTCGATAGAACTCCAACTAGAAAAAAGAAATTCTATAGCGATCTTAGCAAAACAATTTTCGAAAAAGAAATCCTGTAAAGTAAGAGAGCTTGCAAGACTTCTGGGCACCCTGGTAGCGGCATGTCCAGCAATTCCGTACGGCTGGCTCCATACGAAACAATTAGAGCGCGAAAAATTCCTCGCTCTAAAGAACTCCAATAATTTTGACGCAAAAATGACCATCACAAACAAAAAAGCCCACGGATGGTGGGGAGAAGACGACAAAAATGCTCACATCAATTATCTTGAGTTGAAAGCAGCGTTCTACGGTCTCAAATGCCATGCCAAAGATTGCAATAACTGATCGATCCTACTTAGGATAGACAATACCACGGCGATCTCGTACATAAACAGAATGGGCGGAATCCAATTCCCAAAACAGACAGAAATCACCCGAGCTATATGGAATTGGTGAGAAGGTAAAAAATTGTGGATACATGCTTCCTACATAGAATCAAAAGAAAATAAGGAAGCAGATGAACAATCGAGAATATTGCCGCAAGACACAGAGTGGGAAATAGCGGACTGGGCCTTTAATAAAATTGTCGAAAAATTCGGGAACTTCGAAATAGACTTATTTGCGTCAAAGGCAAATGCAAAATGCGAAACCTATGTCTCCTGGCACCGTGATCCCGATTCCTCAGCAGTAGACGCGTTTACAATAAATTGGTCTGATTGTTATTTCTACGCATTTCCCCCATTTTGCCTAGTATTACAAACTTTGCAAAAAATACAAGAGGACAAAGCCGAAGGAGTGGTGGTAGTACCCATGTGGCCCTCACAGCCTTGGTACCCTCTCTTCGTGCGCTTAACAACTTCAAAACCCATCTTATTTAAACCTGACATTGAACTACTATAACCTGTCCTTTCAGAAAAACACACCCTCTACACGAGACGATTACCCTGGCGGCAGCTCACTTATCAGGGAGGCGTTCGTAAAAAGAGGAGCAACTGAGAAAGCAGCAGACGTCATGTTAGCCTCAATCTCCGAGGGAACATTGAAGCAATATGAGAAAACTTACTTGGAATCACTAGGAAAGAACGAAACCTTGTCACTGGAAGAGTTGACAAAAAAGCTAGCAACGCTATTAGCGCTAATAACTGCGCAACGAGTTCAGACGATAGCAGCCATCAAATTAGAAAATATAAATATGAATGTCGACCCAATCAAAGTAAAAATTACTTCGAGAATTAAAACCACAGGTCGCAATAAGTACCAACCAATCATGGAAGTTCCAACTTTCCCTACTAATGAAGTACTCTGCGCAGCAACGACACTAAAAGAATACATAAAAAGAACAGCAAAACTACGGGAAAATCTCAAAGAGGGCAACCTTTCCTGACATATAGAAAGGCTCATAATGTGGCCACATTACAAAGTATAAGCAGGTGGATAAAAAATTCATTAAAAGAAAGCGGAATAGACACCGAAACATTTACGACACACAGCACCAGACACGCTGCAACCTCAGCAGCAGCTCGAAATGGCGCTAATGTGGAAACCATCAGGAAGGCCGCAGGATGGACACAAAAATCCTCAGTTTTCGCTAAATTTTACAATAGGCCACTCACAAACAACTTCACATTCGCAGAGGCAGTACTGGGATAAAAAATTACAAATCTAACTTCTTTATTCCTTTAGTCAGGATAATTCTTATCTCTATTCAATGATAAAATATAAAAAAATTTTTCTTGTAAAAGTCAACAATTTAGTTGGTAAAAAATTACCAACCCTATTAATAAAAAACAAAATAAATAAATAAAACGAAGTAAATCACTTCCTCAACTCTAAAAATCTACATAATTTTGATCATGAGGACGAGGCAGCGAAATACAATTAAGAAATTGAACGAACTTACCTAAAGTGAAGTTCAATTGAAATTGTATGAGCTGCCTCGTCCGAAGAGATCAAACCCTCCCGGCCCTAAGCTCCGGAGAAGCCCCAAAAATTTCGCGATTTACTTTAGGCTCTAAAATGTAATGACAGAAAGCGGAAGAGACGGCAGCGACACCTAAGAGTGGCGCTAAAAAATCTTAGAATTTGAAATACTGTGGTGGAACAAATAGTGAGTAACGTGACTACATAATTTTGATCTCTTCGGACGAGGCAGCTCATACAATTTCAATTGAACTTCACTTTAGGTAAGTTCGTTCAATTTCTTAATTTTTTTAAAAAAATTTTTGATAAAATTCTAAGCAAGAATTCAATTATTTTCATAAATAATAAAACTCATCGAAGAATTTCAATTATTATTTTTAAATACTATTTTAAAGTAATTAATCGAAAAATTCAATTATTTTTACAAATAATAAAATTCATCGCAGGATTTCAATTATATTTAATACAATTTTACAGGAATTGGTCAAAAAATGTAATTATTCTTAAAAATCGCATTTCAATTCCTCGTAAAAATCAATTATTTAAAAAAATGTTTTTTTAAAATTCTTTGAAAGAATTTAATTATGTCGATAAATAACAAAATTATTCCCGAAAATTCAATTATTTTAAGACATTCTAATAAAATTCTTTGTAAAATTAAATTATTTTCATAAATAACAATATTCATCACAAGAATTCAATTATTTTTAAAAGTAACAAATTTTTTCTTGGAAATTCAATTATTTAAAAAAATTCTAATATAATCGTTCGCAATAATTTAATTATTTTCATAAATAATAAATTACTTTTTAGGAATTAAATTATTTTTAAAAAAAATTGAATACAATTCCACACAGACATTCAATAATTCTCCAAAATTTTACTAAAATTCTTTGTAAAATTTAATTATTTTTAAAAACTGTTTGCAATTCAATGATTTTCAATATTTACTATTTTCATAAAATTTCCAAACAGAACTCAATTATTTATAAGAATGTTTTTTTAAAATTCTTCGAAAGAATCCAATTATTTACAAAAATATTAGAATTTTCCACAGAAATTCAATTATTTTCAAATATTTTTATAAAAAAAAATTCTTCGAAAGAAATCAATTATTTTAAATACAATTTTAATTAAATTTTTTTCAAATAATCCAATTATTCTTTTAGATTTTAATAAAATTTGTACCTAGAATTCAATTATGTCGATAAATAACAAAATTATTTCCGAAATTGCAATTATTTTGTGGGATTTCAATAAAATTCTTTACAAAATTCAATAATTACTTTTGTAAATAATAAAATTTACCAAAGGAATTCAATTATTTAAAAACTTTTAATAAAATTCTATTCAAACATTTCATTATTCTCATAAATAATAAAAATTTCACAGAAATTCAATTATTTACAAATTTCTTCGCAATAATTCAATTATTTTCATAAACAATGAAACTTATATTATTGCAGATTTTCAATTATTTTTAATACAATTTTCATCGAATTTCTGGAAAAATGTGAATATTCATAAAAGTTTTATTAAAATTCGTTAAAGAATTCAATTATTATTTAAAACTTTGTTGATAAAATTCTTTATGAGAATTCAATTTTAAGAAACATTCAATTATTCAATTTTAAAAAAATTTTAAATAATTGAATTCTTGTAGAATTTTCTAATAAAAATTGAATTAAAAATGAATTTTAGTTCAAATTCAAGATAGAAATTGAATATTAAAAGCATTATAGCACGAATTTTTAGAAATAAATAAATTTTGAAAAGGTTTTAAATTAAAATCTTTAAATATCTGAATTTTTCATACTTTCTAATAATCAGTTCTGTAGAACTAGTGCTATTGAAAATTTTAATTAAAATTCTATTTAAATTAGTTGAATTTTATAATAATATATTAAATGATTAATTATTTAATTATTAAAAATAATGGATTAATAGAAGAATTTGAGTTAAAAACACAAAAAAAAAATTTATTTTGAAGAAATTACAAATGAAATTGCAGACATTTAATTATTTTCAAAAGTATAAAATTTCTTCACAGAAATTCAATTATGTTCAAAAATATTAAAAAATGCTTGTCAAGAATTCAAGTATCTTGATAAATAATAAAATTCTTCTCCGAAATTCAATTATTTTCAAAAATTTTAATATAATTCTTGTCAAAATTGCAATTATTTTCAAAAATTGAATTCTCGTAGAATTCTAATAAAAATTGATTTAAAAATGAATTTAAAAATGAATAGCAGTTAAAATTTTAGATAATACTTGAATATTAATATCATTACAGCGTGAATTCTTAGAAATAATTGAATTTTGTAATTTGATTTAAAAATTCTCAAAGAACCTTTTCAAAAATTATTTTCAAAAATTTATTTCAAGAAGAATTTTAGTTAAAAACTCTAGATAATAGTAATTGAATTGAAATTATAAAAATAATTTTGAAGAAGTAAAATGTTCTTTTTTTTACTCGGACTGGTTATACTTTTGTCATTAATTGGTCCGTAATTTTTCATTTTTAGTCCGTAAAGTCCGTATTTTTAAATACTTTCACTGGTTCGAACCCTGTTTTTAAAAACTTTTCGCAATTCAATGATTTTCAATATCTACTATTTTCATAAAATTTCCAAACAGAACTCAATTATTTAAAAAAAATTTTGTAAAATTATTTTTTTTGTAAACTATTTTTTTTTAATTATCTTAAGAATACAATTTTTTTATGAATAATAAAAATTTCTCAGAAATTCAATTATTTAAATTAGAATTTGTATAAAATTAGTCGAAAGGAATAAATTATTTAAAAATTTTTTAAAAATTCTTCGCTAGAATTAAATTATTTTTATAAATATTGAAATTCTTTCATTAATAATGAAATTCGTTGCAGCAATTCAAATTATTAGCAGGTTAAGAAAGAAGTAAATATTTTTGATGAAAATTAGGAAAAAGTCAGGAAAATAAAAAATATGGAATGGAATTTTTGGTCAGTTTTGTGAAGTGTCTAAAACAATTTTTTTTGTCGTGAAGTTTCATTTTTCGATAGCTACTTTTTTACTACTTTTTTAGTTTGAAAGCTACTTTTTTAAAATTAATTATCATGTGCGAAGTCTGTAAGTGATCCACTACATTCGTATTAAATTATATATTCATATTTTACAGAATTTAGTAAGACAAGTGAATAATGAGACACTGGATAATGTATCACACAATAATGTGGAACCTACAATTATTTTACTTCAAGCACGAATTAGAGGATATTTACTACGTAAAAGTATTTCTGATAGATTTACATATTTTTACAATAATATTGAAAAAGTGATAAGAATCCAAACTTGGTGGCGAGAGATTTTAGCAAGAAAGTACAATGAAAATTTGCTCGATCCAAAATTTAAACTCGATCGAGAGGGAGAAATAACATCATTAAAGTACTTCAAGAAACATGTAAGTTTTTAAAACAACATAATTTTTTAGTTCCAATTTAAAGGTATTCTTTTATTCCTATTTTTAAAATAGTACCTAATTATTGTGCATATTATATTTTTTAGGAAGATAAAGTTCTTAAAATTCAAGCTTTGTGGCGCGGCACAGTAGCCAGAAAAGCATTTCAGTCGCTTTTACATTTAGATAAACCACCATTTACAGTAGTGAAGCGATTTTCTGCAATTCTAAATTTCAATTCTGAAGATTACGACAAAGATCTTCAATTGCAAGTAAGTATTCTTTATTCTAAAACAAAATATATTTTATAAAAGAATAAGTTTTTTGATTTATAATTTAATAATTTAGAAGAGATTTGATACTGTTTAAAAACTAATAATATAATTTATAATCATTTATACAAAAAAAAGTTTGATATTTTTTATTTTACTCTCTAGCATTTAAAAAATGATGTGGTTCAATTGATTCGACATAACCAAAATTTATCTCAATTGTTGGACAGTATGGATATAAAAATTGGACTCTTAATTCAAAATAGGATAACTTTAAAGGTACGCAAGTACAGGCCTCGGATATTATAACATTTTCGACTTTTTATCGACTTATTTTAAAAAATTACGACTTTTTCGACTTTTCTTCCGAATATTTTACTAATTTTTAGTATAAAATGCAACATATTTTCGAAATTTACAATTGAAAAGAGTTTCAATAAATATTGAAATTTTGTAAAATTTAATTAAAAATAATTGATTTTTTTTAAAGTGTTTTCAAAAAAATTTTTGAAAATAAACATTTGAAGAATTTTAATTGCAAATTTTGAAAATAATTGAAATTAAATTCCTCGGAAGAATTTAATTTTTAAAACAATTTTTAATATATTTCGAATAAATTCAATTATTTTCTAAAATCTTAATAAGTCCTTCGAAACAATTCAATTATTTTTTATAAATAGTAAAATTCTTCGCAAGAATTCAATTATTTTTATAAATAGTAAAATTCTTTGTAGGAATTCAATTATTTTCAAAACATATATTTAATTAAATTTCTCGGAAGAATTCAAATATTTTCAAATATTTCCATAAAATTCAATTATTTCCTAAAATTTTTAATACAGGCAAACCTCGCTACGGCGGAAAGCAATTATACGATTCCGCCGTAGAGAGGTTCGTTAAAATGCTATTAGTGAGTGAACGTTCAGGGATGTATCAACCATTTTAAATCATATGATCTTTAAATATGAAATAGAAGTTATGATAATTTATTAATAACCTTATTTAAAAATATGTATTAAAAATCATTGAATTCTTGCAAAGAATTTTGTCAAAAAATTTGAGAATAATTGAATTCCTTCGCAGAATTTTATTATTTATGAAAATAATAGAATTCTCGCGAAAAATTTAAATAAAATTTATAAAAATCTTAATTAAATTCTTTTGAAAAATATCTTTAAACTTTTTTAAAATAATGAAGTTTCTTTAATAGTTATAATTGAAAATTTTTAAAGTAATTGATTTCTCAAAAATTTTAATGAAAAATCTTCAAGTGTAAATTTAGAAATGGTAATTAATGAAAATTAGCTACAAAAAAAAATTATATTAAAATATTTTTGATAAAAATAATTCTTAGAATTTTTGCATTCTAATTTTTTTAAAAATTCAATTATTTTCAATATTTTTAAATACAAATTTCCAAAAATTCAAATACATACAAAAAATAATATTACAATTTTTTACAAATTATTTTTAACATTTTAACAACATATGATTTTTTTTAGATTTATTAAAATTTTGGAGAAATCGCGTTTATAATATTAATAAATTCAGGGTTGCCACGCAACCTGGAAACCTGGAAAACCTGGAAATGTCAGGGAATTTTTATAAACCTTGAAAAAACCTGGAAAAGTCAGGGAATTTTGATTGGAATCCTGGAAAATTATTATTTTCTAAAGTTATTGTGCTTATTCTTGAAATCTAATTTTTCTTTAATTCAATTTTCTTAATTCAAATTTCTTAATTCAATTTTAAAAGAGTTGCCTTTACAATATTTCTTTGCAATAATTCAATTATTTTCATAAATAATTAAAAAATTTATAGATTTACAATTATTTTCACAAATAATAAAACTCATCGCAAAATTTCAATTATTCTTAAAAATTTTATTAAAATTCATCAAAGAAATTCAATTATTTTCAAAATTAATAAAATTCTTCGCAGAAATTCAATTATGGTCAAAAGTTTAACAAATTTATCGTCAAAATTTCAATTATCTTTATAAATATTAAATTTTTTCTCCAAAATTCAATTATTTTCAAAAATTTTAATGAAATTCTTTTTAACAAATTCAATTTTTTTTTCAAAAATTCTCCTCCAGTCAATGATTTTTAATATCTACTATTTTAATAAAATTTTCCAAAAGAAATGAATTATTTTAAACATTTTTTATAAATTTCTTCGCAATAAATCTATTATTTTCAAAAATATTTAATTTATCTTTACAGAGATTCAATTATTTTTATAAATATGTAATACGATTTTTTACAGGGATTCAATTATTATTTTCATAGATAATAAAACTCATTGCAGAATTTCAATTATTTTTTATACAATTTTAATCGAATTCTTCGAAGAATATAATTATATTTAAAATTTTATTAAAATTCGTCAATAGAATTAAATTATTTAAAAATTTGTTAATAAAATTCTTTACGAGAATTGAATTTTGAGAAACATTCAATTATTCAATAAATTATTTATTTTTGTATTAAAAATAATTAGGTATTTAAAAAGAAATATTATTAAAAAATTCGTCTCAAGAATTTAATTATTTTCAAAAGTAATAAAATTTTTAGCAGAAATTCAATTATGGTCAAAAGTTTAAAAAAAGTTATAGTCAAAATTTCAATTATTTTTATAAATATTAAAATTATTCTCTAAAATTCAATTATTTTCAAAAATTTTAATAAAATTCTTGTCAATATTTCAATTATTTAAAAAAAATTTAATAAAATTCTTGACAAAATTTCAATTATTTTTAAAAACTTTTCTTAATTCAAAAGAATTTTTTTTACAGAGATTCAATTATTTTTGATACATTTTTAATCTAATTTCTCGAAAAATGAAATTGTTCTTAAAAATTTTATTGAAATTCGTCAAAAGAATTTTAATTATGTACCTATTTAAAAATTTGTTGATAAAATTCTTTAAATGAGAGTTGAATTTTAAAAAACATTCAATTCTTTAATAAATTATTTTTTTTTGTATTTAAATAATTGAATTGTCGTAGAATTTTCTAATAATAATTGATTGAAATATGAATTTCAGTTAAAACTTTAGATAATAATTGAGTTTTGAAAATCAGGTCTCAAATTATAATCTTTGAATGTTTGAATTGTTCATACTTTTAACTTAAAATTGTGTAGATTTAATTTTTTTGTAAAAGTTGAATTGAATTTTTTTGAAGTTATTTCAAGTTTTTATTTTATTTACGACAGTTCCGAGGGAGGGTAAAGGGCTCCAAAAGAAGGGTTACGGGTTTTAGTGGGTCGGGCTGGTAGTGGGTCGCCAGTTTATTAAATTTATTATAACATTTATTTATTTATCCTTTTTTTTAAATTCCCTTTTTTTTTTATTTTACCAACCCCACATAACCTTGGAGTGCGGAATCCGGGGTATCTGTAAACAGATTTCCCAAAGTTCCCTAAGCAAAAAAGGAAGTTTTTATTTTCTAATATATATTTGATTGAAGAATTTCTGAATAATCGATGAAATTTCGTAAAATTGAATTGTAAACAAAAGGATTTGAAAATGTTGAAAGAAATTTTTCATAAATTATTAATAATAATTAATTTACACTTTATAAAGAAGAATTTTAGTTAAAAATTGTGGAAAACAATAATTGAATTAAAATAATGAAAGTAATTTTGAATAAGTTACAGTAACAATATTTTTATAATAGGTATAAAATGATGATTTTATCAGTCCAACATTTTTAATTATTATAAAACATGTTTAATTTCAAAAAGGTTTAAATTAAAAATTTTTAAAAATATAAATGTAGTTTAAAAAACCTGGAAAACCTGGAAAACTCAGGGAATTTGAAATCAGTAAAAGCGTGGTTAATAATTTTAATTATTACAATAATTAAAATTCTTTGAAAATTCAATTATTTTTTTAATAGAATTTACCAAATTTCAATTGTTTGAAAATTTTTTAATTCTATATCATTGAAAAACTATTATATCTTTCATAAATTATTTTTAAAATATTTTTGAAAAATTGATTTTAAGAATTTCTTTATTATAATTTTTTGAAAATTAATTAAAAACGTAAAAATCATTGGACAGTTAGAATCATTATAAACAGATTTACTTGACAAAAATTAAGATCCTGAAGACATTCTAAGTTGTATTTAAATAATTGAATTCTCTAAGAACTTTCGGAAAATTATTAAAAATAATTGATTTCGAGAAGAAGTTTGATTAAAAATTCTAGAAAAAAATTGAATTTTAAGAGAATTAAAGTTGCAATTTTTAGAAGTTATTAAATTTTAGAGGGTTTTAAATAGAAATTTAAAAAATTTTATTCCCGTATAAAAACAAAGAAAAAGTATTTAAATATTTATTTAACGAAATTATTCAAGTTTTAAATAATTTAATTTAGAAATTAGTGAAAGAGCAGAAGAATAAAAAACAAAATTTTTCTGTTGACACTGAATGAAATAAACGACTTTTTTTCTATTTTAAATCGACTAAAGCGACTTTTTTTTGCACCTTAAAGTCGATCCGAGGCCTGCAAGTACGATTAAATTTTTTTTAATACTATCGTAAAGTTGATATTAATTGTATTAAATGAAATGCAGGATGTCGTCGCACATGGAAAAAATTTAGAATCTTTAGCGAAAGCAAAATATATCAAAAGTCATCGTAAAGATTCATTTTCTGAATCAACAATTTCGAAAGGACTGAGATCACTTACCAAAGAAGGACGTAAAATGCTCGAAGGATATCAACATTTATTTTATGCATTACAAACGAATCCAACATATTTATCTAAATTACTATTTTTATTACCACAAAGTAAATCGAACAAGTTTTTGCAAAATGTTATTTTAACTGTTTTTAATTTCGGTTCGAACATTAGGGAGGAGTATTTGCTTTTAAAACTTTTGGGAACTGCACTTAGAGAGGAAATAAGGTAATTTGTTCTAATAATTTTCTTTCAGTGTAGTAAATAATTATTTTTCATAATATGTATTATTATTTTAAAATTCGTTCTATGTCAGTTGTCAATAATGTTTGTGGTATATTAACTAATATAATTTTTAATTTAGGTGTAAATTTGAAAAACCTTCAGAGGTAGTAACAGGGAATCCTCTTGTTCTAAAAATGGCTGTTAATTATGCCAGGCAAATAAATGGTCAACGAGCATTGCGGCAAATTCTTGGACCTTGTATTGAGAAAATTCTCTCGGATAAAACTATAAATATTGAAACAAATCCTGTTGACATTTACAAATGTTGGCGTAATCAACTCGAAATGGAAACTGGAGAGGCTTTGTAAGTTTTCTTGTATTCTTTACTCATTCAGAGAATATAGTTTTCTGTTGTTAGAAATTGATTCATTATTCGTTATTACATTAATTTTCAATTTGGATGAAACAGACGCCTCTAAAATTGATTTTACTTTATTAATTTTTGTAACGAAGAAATATTTTGCTTCTAGAGACCTTCCTTACACGGTTACTCATCAACAGGCTTTGCAATATGACGAAGTCAGACAAAGATTGAACAGTGGTTTGAAATTACTGCAAATTACAGTGCAAGAACTTTTATCACGAATAATTGCTTCAAAAAATTTAATTCCTTATGGAATGTTGTATATGTCGAAAGTTCTAAATGAAACACTATCTGAAAAATTTCCAAATGCACTAGAAAAAGATATGTTGAAAGTTATTGGAAATCTCATTTACTATCACTTTATTAATGCAGCGATAGTAGCTCCAGATGCTTTTGAAATAATATCATTGCCCGTTGACAAATCTTTATCAAATGATCAAAGACGAAATCTTGCAAGCATTGCGAAAATTTTGCAGTTTGCAGCATCTAAAAAAGGAGTAAGTTTTTAAATATACAGGTAAATTGCCATCTCTGTACTGTGTTTTTTAAGTTATAGTATTTATTAGTATTATTAATTTTGAGCACTTTATTTTATTTGTGGGAAACAGACTAATACAAATACGAATCCTTCAATTTTTTTCCATTTTTGACAATAATTTATTTTTAAATAACATAATTCTTAAAGAACTATCATAAAATTATTATTACTTACAAATTATTTAATGAATAATTTTACTAAAATATTTCAAAAATAATTGGATTTTAAAAGAATTGAATAAATGAACTTCATTCAAAAGGTTTCAATATGAAATTTTAGAAAATTTAAATTTCGAAAAGATTTAATTAGAAATTTAAAAGAATTTAGTTTTTTGAGAAATATTAAAAATTCATATTCTTCTGAAATTAATTAAATTTTTTAATATATGTGACCGGGTCTGAGAAAAGGGACCTACTTACCAAAATCAACTTTTCGAGAAAAACGCTTTTAAAGTTTTCTATCCAAATAAATTAGATTTCTTGAAACATTTTACATTTAAATTAACATGATGAGTGTTCTTTATGTATTTTTTTATGCTGAATCCGATTTTCATGTTTAAATAATTGTTCAAACAACCCTGTTATTGTTATAAACAATTTACTTTGCAAAAATCAAATTATGGAATTTTCAAAATTAATTTAAAAGACTTCCAGATGTCCTAGAGGTCTGAAATTTTTTATGCAAGTTCAGAACTGATACAATAATGAATAATTCTGAACTCTCCAATAATCCATAGTTATTTTTTGACTTGCACAACCAGGTTGCCGATGACGGGTATACTTGGGGATCATCCTCGATGAATTAAGTTGAATTTTTTGTAAATGGTTTAGGCATTCAATTTAAGATCTAGGGGAAATATTCTTGACATTTAGACAACCAAGAGTGATTTTTGTCTTAAAATTACTTATATTTTCATAAAAAAAATTAAAAAATTTTTTTTTTTAAATTTCTTTAAACAATTGCAAAATTTTTTTTTTAACAATCGAGACTGATTGCATTGTATTTCTAGGACCTTAAACTATAAGAAACCATCATAAAAAAATCCATTTTTTGGTAAGTATGTCCCTTTTCTCAGACCCGGTCACATATATTCTCTGTAATATTCACTTATTTTCATAAATAAAAATATTCCTCATAAAAACACAATTATTTTAAAAAATAATAAAATTTTTTGCAGAAATTCAATTATTTTCAAAAATTTATATAAAATTATCGTCATAATTTTAATTATCTTGAGAAATAACAAAATTTTTCACCGAAATTCAATTATTTTCAAAAATTTTTCTCAATTCGATGAATTTCAATATGTACTATTTTAATAAAATTTTCCAAAAGAATTGAATTATTTTAAAAAACTTCTGATAAATTTCTAGGAAAATATTCAATTATTAGGGGAGAGTGGGGCAAACCGGACCCCCTAACGGTTTTTTGACTCTTGTGACTAAACGAATGAACCGATTTCATTTTTCGATGGCTTGTTTGAAAGATCATTTAATTGCGCAACTTTTTCCCAGAGACACTTATACTTTATCTTTTATTGTTTAGTTGATGTGTTAACTTTAAAAAATTTTGCAAACGGTCCGCTTTGCCCCACCCCCTGGGGTAAACCTGACCGTTTGGTTTTTTATTTATAATATTGCATTTACATAATCTACAATAATAAAAAACATAAAGAATCATGTAAACAATGGTTGTAGTAATGAAAATAATAATACAGGATTGAATTTTAATGAAATAAACATTTTTTTAATAAAAAAATAAAAATGTTTGTCATTATCAGAGAAACAATATTAAAGGGTCCAATTCTCATTGGAAGACAATTATTTTTCATTGTAAGTAAATATTTTAATGAAAGAAACATTTTATTTAAAAATAATTTTTATGAAACTTTAATTGAATGGAAATATCCTATGGCCGGTTTGCCCCACCGAAAACGGTCCGGTTTGCCTCACAGGCCCATTTTGAGAATAAATGTTTGTCAAAAAGAAACGCTTTGCAAATTCATCAAAGTTTTTGGTGGTAAATATTCCTGAGGTATGTACTCAAAACCTAAGACCTAATATTTGGAAACATTACACGATTTCCTCAGAATTTCCTTAAGAAAAAATTCGTGAAAGTGTAGAAAAAAACTAAAAAAAAAAACTTTTGCTCCCTTCGTCGCACAAACGCAAGCTAAAACTGTCAGATTGAAAAAATTAGGTATACTAAACATGGTTGTTTTAAATTTGTAAACAACACTTTTTCCAATTTCGCCATTTCGGAAATATTGAGGGGGGTCCGGTTTACCCACCGGTCCGGTTTGCCCCACTCTCCCCTATCATAAATAAGAAAAATTTTACAGGAATTTAATTATTTTAAAAAAGTATATCAAGTAACAAGGGAACAAAGGCAGCCGTTTCTTTACGGTGATTATTGTGACGTGAGTAATTATTCTCAAAAATTGTATTAAAATTCGCCTAAAGAATTCAATTATCTAAAAATTTGTTGATAAAATTCTTTATAAGAATTCAATTTTAAAAAATATTCAATTATTCAATAAATTATTTATTTTTGTATTTAAACAATTGAATTTTTGCAGAATTTTCTAATGAATATTGATTTAAAAATGAATTTTAGATAATAATTGAATATTAAGAACATGAATTTTTCGAAATAATTAAATTTTTAAAAGGTTTCATATTAAAATCTTTGAAACTTTGAATTTTTTATACTTTTAACTAATAATTCTGTAAACAGAACACCGAATGAAATCATTTTAAATGTTAAAGTAATAAAAATTCAATTATGTTCGAAAATTAAAAAAAAAATTGTTAAAAATTTCAATTATCTTTTAAAATCATAAAATTCTTCTCCAAAATTCAATTATTTTCAAAAATGTTCCTCAATTCAATTATTTTCAATATTTACAATTTTTCTAAAATTTTCTAAAAAAATTCAATTAAAATTTCAATAAAATTCTATGCAAACATTTTATTATTTTCATGAATAATAAAAATTTCACAGAAATTCTGATATTTACAAATTTTTTATAAACTTCTTCGCAATAATTTAAGGAATTCAATTATTTTCATAAATTTTACAACTTATCGTGGAATTTCACTTATTTTAAATACAATTTTAATTGAATTCCTTGTAAAATGCAATTATTCCTTAAAGATTTCATTAAAATTTGTCGAAAAAATTAATTATTTAAAAATTTTCTTAATAAAATGCTTTATAAGAATTCAAATTTAAGAAACATTCAATTCTTCAATAGATTAATTATTTTTTAAAAAATAAAAAAAAAAATTTTATTTTAAAAAAATTAAATATTTAAAAATTTTCTTCATAAAATGCTTTATAAGAATTCAATTTTAAGAAACATTCAATTATTCAATAAATTATTTATTTAATTATACTTAAATAATTGAATTCTCGTAGAATTTTCTAATAAAAATTGATTTAAAAATGAATTTTAGTTTAAATTTAGATAATAATTGAATATTTAAAGCATTATTTATTTATTTAAGTAGTAAACGGGACTATGATTATAGCCTGAATTTTTCGAAATAATTAAATTTTGAAAAGGTTTCATATTAAAATCTTAGAAAATTAAAATTTTTCATACTTTTGACTAGAATTCTGTGGAAATAATTTTTTTGAAAAAGTTTAGTTGACATTTTTTAAAATTATATGAAGTTTTTATTTTCTAATATATATATTTAATTAAAGAAGTTTGGAATAATTAAAATTTCGTAAAATTGAATTGTAAACAAGTGGATTTGAGAATTCGCAAATAACTTTGTCAAAAAATATTAAAAATAATTGATTTATAGAAGAATTTTAATTGAAAATTCTAGAAAATAATAATTGAATTGAAATGATGAAAATAATTTTGAAGAAGTTACAGTAGCAATATTTTTATAACTTATTGAAATTTGACATTTTTAATTTCTATGGAATAAAAATAATGATTAAATATTTATTTTAATTACATCTGTTGATGTTTTCGAAGAATAAATTTTTAATTAAAGAAGTTCGTAAATAAATTTATTAGAACATTTTTTTCATAGTATCTAATCATTTTTAGAGTAAATCAGAATATTCTTTAATATCAGGGAAAAAATCAAAATTTTGTTTGGAAATAAGGGAAAAATTAGAATTAAATTTTTGTGTCAACCCTGTTTTTGGTTTATGGAAAAACTTGAGTTTCGGTATATCATTAAAAATTCATTTCATATATTATATACAATTGAGCTTTTCCAGTTGGGAAAACTAATAAATATTTAAGAGTTTCAGAAATTGTTTCTGCGTCTTTAAATCTGTCTGATAAACCTTGTGTTATCTCGAGATGATCCTGTTTTACACTAAAAAAATATTATTGCTTTTCAACTAAAAATGGTGTAAAAAAATTTTCTCAAAAAATTGATTTAGTTATATTTAAGGATTTTAGGGTCACTGAATCCGAATTTATTGTCAGATTTAAAAAAAAAATAATGGATGCATTATGGATAATTTTTAACATTTTTGGCATTTTTGGCACCCGACATTTTGAATTTAATAAGTTATACTTATTTTTGACTAAGTTCCTTTTAGCAATACTCACAGAAAACTGAACTGGTTCCCTAAAAAAACAGTAGTACACTGATGGCAATTGTTTCATATTCTACTTTACAAATTAATGTTTATATCAATCTAATGAAATTTATGTATGTTTTTTTAGTTTGGTGATGAAGCAACACATTTGGTTTGCTTAAATCCATTTATAATAGAATGCCATGAGAAGTTTAAAAATTTCTTTCGATCTTGTTGTGAAATAGAAGAAATTGATGAGCATTTTAAAATTCATGAATATACAGAGGCTACTTTAATTGAAAAGCCTGAGATATATATCTCTTTGCAGGTAAATTATTTTCTTAAATAAATTTTCTAATTGTTACATCAATTCCTAAAAAAGTTTTTCTCCGATTTTTATTTATGAGATTTTGACATTATAATCATTTCATATCTAACACTGCAGTTTTGTTATGCTACTTTTATTACAGGAAATATGCGATACCCATGGTCTTGTGGAACAATATCAAGAGCAAATTGCTCCAAATCCATTAGATTCTCTACATGAACTTCTTGAAGATTTGGGTCCCACGCCTACTGTTGCATCATTATTGGGACTAAGTATGAAAAATAGTTATTTCTTAAATTTTAGAATTAAAATCACAACAATAACATTAAATATTATAAAATGTTGATTGGGAAGTTACAATAAATTTTCTCATTTCAGACAATTCGACAGATGAAAAAATCTTATTTCGACATGGAAAAACTGAAGTTTGCTTGACACTTACTAATAAATTTGAAATTCCGGAGAATGAAGATTCAAATTTAAATAAACTGTTTATCAAAACAAAGGAGCTTTTAGTTTCATGCATACGGTTTTTGCAGGGGAATACATTATCTGAAGCACTGGAATCTACTCCGTTACACATCCAAGAAAAATTGCCTGATGATCATTATTTATCGATGACTTCTAATTTTAATACAGTTCATAACAGGTATATAAAATTTAACCAGTTATTTCCATTTAGAAACTATATTAAATAAATAATTGGATTCAATCTTATTGTGACACTTTTGTATTTTTCAGTCTGCCTCTAAACGATTGCAAATTACAACTTCGTTCATATCTAAATAAACTTGAACTTGATGGTTTGGTAACAGAAAAAGATGGTTATCAAAACATTATAACAGCAGTGGCAAAAGATTTGTGCAATAAAGGAAAATATCGAGTTTTTCGAAACAAAGAATTGCAAACATTACAGGAAACGAAACAGCAACTCGAAGAGAAATGTAACTACTATAAAGAGCAAGTGGAATATTACAACCAATATATTCAAAAATGTCTCGAAAATCTTCATACTGGAAAAGGGTAATTAGGGGCGCATGATTATTGCCCAAAATTCAATTTCATAATATTCAAAACATCGAAATTCTTATTATCGAAACGTCAATTCACATAATTTTCATATTTCGAAATACCATTCATCATAATTTTCATTTTGTCGAATAATCATTGATTCTAATTTTTAAATAATCGAATTGTTTTTTAACATAATTTTTATTCTGACTAATGTCTATTGGTTAGAAGTATTAAATGTTCGAATTATCAATTCGTCGAATGCTCAAAATATAGAATTGTTAATTCGTCGAATGCTCAAATAGTCGAAACGCTATCTGTTCGAATTGTCAAGTAGTAGAATGGTAAAGTAGTCGAATGTTCAAATAGTCGAAGCGCCATCTGTTCGAATTGCCAAGTAGTAGAATGGTAAAGTAGTCGAATGTTCAAATAGTCGAAGCGCCATCTGTTCGAATTGCCAAGTAGTAGAATGGTAAAGTAGTCGAATGGACAAATAGTCGAAACGCCATCTGTTCAATTTGTCAAATAGTAGAATGGTAAAGTAGTCGAATGTTCAAAACGTCGAATGCTCAGAACATCGAATGCTTAAAACATCGAATTGTTAGTTCGTCGAATGCTCAAAATGTCGAAATGTCAATTCGTCGAATCGTCAAAACATCGAATTACCAAAATTTCGAAAAATTTGTTTGATTTAAGTTAACATTTGTTTGTTTTAAGTTAATGTTAACTTAAATCAAACAAATTTTTCGAAATTTTGACAATTCGACGTTTTGACGATTCGACGAATTGACATTTCGACATTTTGAGCATTCGACGATTGGACAATTTGATGTTTTTAGCATTCGACGTTTTGAACATTCGACGAATTGAAAATTTGATGATTTGAGCATTCGACGAATTAACAATTCTGTATTTTGAGCATTCGACGAATTGATAATTCGAACATTTAATACTTCTAACCAATAGACATTAGTCAGAATAAAAATTATGTTAAAAAACAATTCGACTATTTAAAAATTAGAATCAATGATTATTCGACAAAATGAAAATTATGATGAATGGTATTTCGAAATATGAAAATTATGTGAATTGACGTTTCGATAATAAAAATTTCGATGTTTTGAATATTATGAAATTGAATTTTGGGCAATAATCATGCGCCCCGGGTAATTAAATACTTTCAAAACTTATTTAAATAAAAACTAATTTTATATTTAAATACTTTACTTTTTGCGGTTGTTATAATTATTATAGGTTTCTCAGCTTTAAATGTTCTCTAGTTTCTACCATCTAAAGATTATAATGGACTTTAAAGTGGATGTATTATTATTTATATTAACAGGTTTCGCACTCATCAATTAAAACCTAATATTTACTGCTTTTTTTACGTTATGCTACTATTTAAGTACTTTTTTTAGATTTCAGCCACTAAAAGCTACTATTTCTGTTTTTTTTAGAATTTACACTACTTTAAATTCCCTAATACTAGAAATAAAAAAACTATTCTCAAAAATTATAATCAAATTCTTTAAAACGATTCAATTATTTGCAAAAAATATTGGAAATTCAATAATTATTTTCATGAAATTTCGCAAAAGAATTCAATTATTTAAAAAATAATTGACCAAATTCATCCAAAAATTCAATTATTTTCACTAATAATAACATTTTTCATGGAAATTCAATTTAAAAAAAAATGTTTTATAAAATTCTACCTATGCAACAATTCAATTATTTTCATAAATAATAAAATTCTTCTCAGGAATTCAATTATTTTTGAAAATTTTAATAAAATTCTTTGCAACTATTCAACTATTTTCATAAATAATAAAATTCTTCGCAGAATTTCAATTATTTTTAATACAATTTTACAGGAATTGCTCAAAAAATTTTATTACTCTTAAAAAACTAATTTCAATTCCTTGCAAAAAATAAATTATTTAAAAAAATGTTTTTTTAAAATTCTTTGGAAGAATTCAATTATGTCGATAAATAAAAAAATTATTCCCGAAAATTCAATTATTTTGAGACATTTTAAAAAAATTGTTCAAAAGAAATCAATTATTTTAAATACAATTTTAATTAAATTTTTTTAAATAATTCAGTTATCCTTTTGGATTTTAATAAAATTATTCACAAGAATTCAATTATTTATATAAATAATTCTTCGAAAAAATTCAGTTATGTCAATAAATAACAAAATTATTTCCGAAAATTCAATTATTTTGAGACATTTTAATAAAATTCTTTGCAAAATTCAATTTTTTTCATAAATAACAATATTCATCACGAAAATTGTATTAATTATTTTTAAAGTAATAAATTTTTTCTTGTAAATTAAATTATTTAAAAAAGTACTAATAAAATTGTTTCCAAGAATTCAATTATTTTCATAAATAATAAAATGCTTTTTAGAAATTCAATTATTTAAAAAAAAAATTAATAAAATGCCACACAGTCATTTTATTATTCTCAAAAATTATAATAGAATTCTTTGTAAAATTTAATTACTTTTAAAAACTTTTCGCAATTCAATGATTTTTAATATCTACAATCTTCACAAAATTTCCAAACAGAATTCAATTATTTAAATATTGTTTTGTAAAAATCTTCGTAAGAATTCAATTTTTTTCATGAATAATACAAATTTCTCAGGAATTCAATTATTTAAATTAAAATTTGCATAAAAATAAGTCGAAAGAAATCTATTATTTAACAATTTTTTTAAAAGTCTTCGCAGGAATTAAATTATTTTTATAAATATTTTAATTCTTTCATTAATCAGGATATGAAAGAAGTAAATATTTTTTATGTAAATTAGGAAAATATCAGGAAAATAAAATAGGTATAGAATGGAATTCTTCTCAGTTTTGTGAAGTGTCTAAAACGATTTTTTTTATCCTCAAGTTTAATTTTTCGATAGCTACTTTTTTACTACTTTTTTTTAAGTTTGAAAGCTGATTTTTGCTACTTTTTAAAATTAATAATGCAAAGTTTGTATTTACAATATAATTATATAGAGAAAAATATGCATAACAATTTAAATAATATCATTTTTAAATTAGATTATTGCTTAATAATTTTGACAAAGTGATCTTTTTAACAGAATTAAAAAAAATAAGAGGTTTCGTCTCTGACGTGAAATTTAAAGAGGGTCACGTTTCCCATGTCAAATTCAGTAAAAAAAAGAATTAATATTTTATTTTTTTCTCTCTGAATCTATGAAAAGACCAAATTAATATTTTGATGGTAAAAACTAGAGAATCTAATCTTTTTTTTTTTTTTTGGAGTTTTGAATTAAATCGCATTGATGATAAATATTAATTAATTTCTTTTCCATACATATATAATGTTTATATTTAATAATGACTTTTGTTAACAGTTCTCTACACGCCTTAAAATTGAATAAAAAACACAATCATGGAAAATTGAAATCGAAAACAACATTGAGGTATACTGGAGCTAAATTACAGGAAAAAGGTGTTCTTCTGGAAATAGAAGGCCTCCCTCATAGTCAGTTCAAAAACGTGAGTTTTGAGATTGCACCCACTGAAAACAATGGAGTTTTTACTGTAAAAGGAAAATTTATGGGTGTTGAAATTGAAAAAATTGATATTGATATTCAAAAGCTTTTAGAACTTCAATTTGAAGGTTATCCGGTTATGAATATGTTTGGTAGAGCAAAAATTAATGTTAATTTATTACTATTTTTATTAAATCGGAAGTTTTACGGTAAATTTTAATATTTTTGTGTCATTTTTATAAATATGTTTAATTTAATTTATTTTAATAATTAATGTACGATCATTTTTTTTGTAATAAAATGTAATGCGTAAATATAATTACTTTTTTATAATTAAAGTATACATTATCATCATCATTCCTAATATACAATTGCCTTTTTGTTAATAATAATCTACACCTTTATTTTCTTTCATCTTTTAGGTGTTAAGGTACCTAGTATGGTGCTTTTTTAAATGTCGATTATCTAAATGTTTGAAATTCCACCCCCTTATTTTGTTTTAAATTTATTAAAATTATTAAATATAAATATAAATACAAAATATAATTTATTAAAATTAACATTATTCCCCGAGTTAGAAAACAATTTAAAAAGCAATTGTTGTGGAAAATTAATATACAATATTGTAGTTAACGGTGTTCGACGGTCTCTGAAATTTCTAGATTACATTCGACAAACCGCTATCACCCAACAAATACGGCACTGCCTGGTTTAAATGACGTGAAATTGGTAAACAATCATTTTCGAACGAGTTTTTCTCTGCACACAAGCACTTTTTGCAAAATCTGAATCCGAACCATTGACACAAATCTTCTTAATTACCTAAATCCAAAATATTTTTTTAATCCTTGAAGAAACGCGATTGCAAAATGGGAAAGGCCAGAGTAATGTAATGCGAATCATTTTGACAGCTGAGCCTTTACGCTCCCAGCATGCTTCTGCCCTCTACACGGAGAGAAATTTGAACCGTAAAAGACGGTGTCTAATTCAGAAGGTTAAATGAGGGGGAAAGTTCACGGTAAATCTGAGTGATTTCACCGAGTTTTTCCATTCACGAATCGCAAGTGGCAGTGACAGTAACCGTCAGAGAGCGCTACATCTTGTAGAAAATTATGATGAGTTTCCATTCATCGCCTAAGACTCTGATCACACCGTGATTTTACGTTCAACCTTCTCTCCGAGACCGACAGATTAGCTCGGTCGGATAAATGCCTGGCTCGGTGGGCGGACCAAGGGTACTTGGTTCGCGCCCATTAGCCTGGGATTTTTCCGGCACGTGAGATAATCTGAGCGGGAGGTTTGACGTCGAGGTATAATGATGTGCACCGTCGATTATTGTCCGGTACACACCATTAGAACTCGACTGTCGATAAACCGGTTGTACTCAGGAGAGGTTTTCTACAGTTTCCCTCTTCTCTGGCGAGAAAACCCATTGACGGGTGGTCTAGGCAAATGCGAGTACTCCTAATCTCAAAAAGTCGTTCTGTAGAAACGCAAAACTAGTTGGTATATAAGAGTATGTGTTCTGACAGTTGGCCTAGCTTCAAGTCATTTAAAAAGAAAAAAAAAAAAACCTTCTCTCCTTGTAATGGCAAATGGTTGGAACAAACGTCTTGCCGCCTGTCATTACATCCCAGATAACAATAGTGCGTCGCACATAAGTGTCACGAAATGAGTTTCATTTTGTGCATGCATAAAATCTGCTTAAATGCATGAAAATAAACTACACATGACTAGCACGATATGCGTCTCATTTTCTGCGTGCGAAAATTATGTTTAATGCCATTTTTTAATGCGAGTATATTGTCGCACGATGGTTGCACGTATGTGATGGTAATGCAAGGCATTTTGTGTGTTCGAAAGAGCACCTTAAAGTTTTACATTACGTGACTTAAGACAATTTGCGTTTTGTGCGTGAAAAAGTGCACCTTTAATGAGCGTTCTTCACACTATTGGGACTATTCACCCATTACACAGGCCTACAAATTTCAGACCCACAAACGGGATAAGTCATTTCCGATGTAATTTGTCACCCTGAATCCAAAACTGGCAGCGAAATTGCTCTATCACGTCAGGATTCTGAGATATTCTAACCTAAAAGAGTAAAAAAGGCCATTTTTGGCAACATTCGACTCTCCATAACATCTACAACAAATTTTTTGTATCATTGGAACGAATTTTAAAAAAATTACAATTATTCACCTTTCAAAATATTCTACACCCGATCCGATCCGACTTTTTTTACTAAGATACAACAATTTAAAGTTTAGGTTACACGACCTAAAAACTGAAAAAAGGAAGAAAAGAATAATTGGAAAGTACTTTAACTTAAGCATGTGATTCTTAATATTTTGGGATCGTTGATTAGAAAACCGATGTCGGATTTTTAAAATTCAAAATGGCGGATCCAATATGGCGGCTGTCAAAATAAAAAATTGATCGGATTCGCTTGAAACTTTTTACTCGGGGGTTTTTGTGGTCGCTATTTACGAATCCGATGTCAGATTTTCGAAATTCAAAATGGCGGATGTAATATGGCGACATTTTTAAAAAATTTAACGGATTCGCTTAAAACTCTTCACTCGGGTGTTTTTGAGGTCGCTTATTAAGAATCTGGTGTCACATTTTCGAAATTTAAAATTATTGTGGATCTAATATGGTATTATATGTTAGTAAAATCGAAAAACGTAAAATTCGAAGTCTTTTGAGTACTTGAAAAAAAGATTTCCACACCTATAGATATCTAAATTGAGAAAAGATGTATTTACAGGTCCAGATATAAGCAAAGGAGTGATTCTGTATTATATTCTAAAAACGAAACCAACTATACGAAGATCCTTTGTAGAAAAATGTGTAAAGGTTCATAAAGAAAAATAAAACTTTTAATTTTCTTTACTAAAAAAGTGTATAAATTATGCACTAAATGTTCGAATTTTACTTTCTTCGATTTTACTAACATATAATACCATATTAGATCAACAATAATTTTAAATTTCAAAAATGTGACACTAGATTCTTAATAAGCGACCTCGAAAACACCCGAGTAAGGAGTTTCAAGCGAATCCGTTAAATTTCTTAAAAATATGTCGCCATATTACATCCGCCATTTTGAATTTCGAAAATCTGACATCGGATTCGTAATTAGCGACCTCAAAAACCCCCGAGTAAAAAGTTTCAAGCGAATCCGATCAATTTTTTATTTTGACAGCCGCCATATTGGATCCGCCATTTTGAATTTTAAAAATCCGACATCGGTTTTCTAATCAACGATCCCAAAATATTAAGAATCACATGCTTAAGTTAAAGTACTTTCCAATTATTCTTTTCTTCCTTTTTTCAGTTTTTAGGTCGTGTAACCTAAACTTTAAATTGTTGTATCTTAGTAAAAAAAAGTCGGATCGGATCGGGTGTAGAATATTTTGAAAGGTGAATAATTGTACTTTTTTTAAAATTCGTTCCAATGATACAAAAAATTTTTTGTAGATTTTATGGAGAGTCGAATGTTGCCAAAAATGGCCTTTTTTACTCTTTTAGGTTAGAATATCTCAGAATCCTGACGTGATAGAGCAATTTCGCTGCCAGTTTTGGATTCAGGGTGACAAATTACATCGGAAATGACTTATCCCGTTTGTGGGTCTGACAAAATTCTAAATTTTGTAGGCCTGTGTTATCGATCTAGCTGTCGATGTATCAACACGTCCTCGTGGTCGTTGTTGTTATTTAGTTTGGTGATAGTGGTGTTAACTGAATATTTGGATTACAAGAAGTTTGTCAAAAAGGTAAGTACTACAACAAAATAATACATTTTTGTCCTTTAAATTTTAATTAGTAAAAATATTGTTGTAAAATTTTTTATTTTTTACTGTGTACCAAGAAGTTTAATACAAAACCTTCAAAAGATTTTTCTAGTTTACGAAAACATTCAATTATTTTCATCGCTTAATTTCAAATCCGTACTTTTAATGCAATATTAAATAAATTCCTCGAAAAATACAATTAATTTTAAGAAACATTAAATTATTCAATAAAATTAGTTGCAATAATTCAATTATTTTCATAAATAACTTTTAATTCAATTAGCTTGATAAACAACTAAATTTCTTCCCATAAAATCAATTACTTTAAGGAATTTTAATAAAATTTTTTCCAAAATTCAATTATTTTTATAAATATCAATATTCATCACAAGAATTCAATACTTAAGAAAAATAATTAAATACTTTTCAGAAATTAAACTATTTTCAAAATTATATTAAAAATTCTTGTCAAGAATTAAATTATTGTCAAAAATTTTAATAAAATTGAATCCAATTCAGGGTATCTACTAACTAATTCCGGGAAAAATTTAAATTATGCGGTAAAGCAGTTAATGACTGACGAACTTGTCAGTCAATTTTCCTGGCCCGGAAGCAAAAAAAGTGAGTAATTCGGAGACACTAAGATTTCCAATCTTCTGTTCGGTAAGTTTAACTTTTAATACAGATTCATTATTTGATCTACTTAATGGATTGATTTTGCAATATTACATAAATTTTTTGTAGAATCTAGGAAAAATTAATTACTATGTTTATCATTAAAAAATACGTAAACTAAAATTTGTTCTTTAACATTAATTAAGTAGGTATATTTTAATGTTTTTATAATTAATGTATTAATCTTCATATTCTTTCATTAATTCTGTCCGCAGTTAGAATTTGCTAGAGGTGTTAGGGAAGGCACCTTCAATATCAAGAAAGGTACCAACCGCAAAGCCACCACTACCAATTTGTCCCTCTATTCTACCTACTGCAGAATGGAGGGCTGTTTCTACTGAGAAACCAGCTTTAAAAGCATGTTGTCCCTGGTGTAGAGTATAATCCCTAAAACATTCCTGTCTAATAAAATTATCCACCAGTTTCTCTAACGCCTTTAATATAAAAGAAGTTAGACTGATTGGTCTGAAGACCTTTGCAGCAGTATACCCTGATCGACCGGCCTTCGGAATAAACACAACCCTCGTCTTTTCCAAGACTCCGGTGTGTAACCAAGAGCTATACACGCTCTCATAATTTTACACAGGGGTAGCGTAATATATTCCAATCCCTTTTGCAAAAGAACTGTATATGTACCGTCCCCCCCTGAGGCCTTAAATGGTTTGAAAGTTCCTATTGCCCAATCAATTCCTTCCGGAGTTACAACTTTGGCTGCTAGGTTCCAGTGTTCCCGATTTCCACGGGCCCTTCTGGGTCCCACGCCATAGTTATTCTCCAAATTTTCTCTAAAGTCCGGGAAGTTTACTTCCATCAAATACTTTAGACACTCCCTTTACTCTTTAGACACTAACTACTGATGGTAGTTAGTTTGGCCATTGGGTCTCTAGCTAGTACCTTATGGAGTCTTGATGCTTCTGGTACTCTTTCGATTCCCTCGCAAAAGCTCCTCCAGCTGATACCCCGTGCCTTCTCTACCTCTTTCTTGCAAGAATTACGAGCGGCATGATATTCATCCCATGCTTGCTGATTCTTACGTTTCATGACTTTATTGAAAAGCTTTCTTACTGTTTGCCTATGTCCCTCCAAACAGGAGTTCCACCATTTACCACCCCTGTTGGAGTCCACTTTCTTGGCTACACAGCTTCTTTCAAAAGAGCAGATAATCGAATCTCGCAGATATTTCGCTGCGAGTTATAACTCTTCATATGTTCCATAAGAGGTGGGGAAGCACTCCATGGAGGCCTTGAGGTCCTCAAAATATGAAGCCCAATCAGTACTCCTAGGATTACGTCCCCATTTATGTTCCCGATCTTTCGATTCCATTCTGAATGTAATAAGTCTGTGGTCCGAGAGGGAATCTTTATCAGACACCCTCCAGTCCCTCACACCACTCCACACAGACTTGGAACAGATCGTAATATCCAACACATCTTTTCTGTTAATAGTAACGAAAGTTGGCTCATTACCCTGATTTAAAATTTCTAAATCCGTATCTATCAGAAAATCTAAAAGTCTTCTGCCTCTGCATCACAACCTATTATCAAAGGGAGACTTTGCCGTTTCCGTTCTTTTCCAAGTACTTAGCCTTAACAACAGCTAAGTCCCTAGTAGTTAATTCCAATAGAGGGAAAGCGTCTAGACCTTTATAGATCAGGCAAGCCCTTGGAACTGGTTCCTGTGGTGAACTAACTAGCACCCCACAGCTATGCCAATTTGAAAACCCGACTATTCAATGACCGACTCTACAAATGTCAATCGTTTTAATATGACAATTAAAAATTCCGACTCTTCAAAGACCGACTCCTACAAATTTCAAATTTGCATCATATGACAATTAAAGATACCGACTGTTAAATGACCGACTCTACAAGTGTCAATTTGACTAATTTGTTATTGTAAAATTGGTAATTTTAAAAAAGAAAAAGCTCCAGGGATACCTGAGGAATATTGTGAAGAAGGACTGTACCTCAAGTTCTAATTGTTGAAATACCAACCGAGTATGATTTCGAGGATTCAATAAAAAACAATTAATACATTAATTCTGCTTATATTATTTATTAATACATAACATAGCTATTTTTATATATTTTTGTATTTAATAATAATTATATAATCTTATTCCTTTTACTTTAAAAATTACTGTTATCTAATTTCTTGCACTGCGTTACCAAAACATAATTTGCATGGAACAATGAAATAATTTCTTTAAACGTTGGTGATAATATACATAGACTACAGAAGATTAAAAATATTTAATTATAATTCAATTGCTTTTTCATCATATGACCTTTTTTATATGTATATACATTATGAATAATTCCCGATTTATGGAAAGTAAAAAAATTATTATTATTATTATATTTAACAAACAGTGTCTTCAATATTGGTTTATTTTTCACATAAATATTTATAAAAATTTAATTTTTTTACAGTATCTAACATATATTCAATAAAACTGATAACTATATACCTGAGCATCTTATGATAAAACTTTTACAATTTCCTGTACGATTTCAGTCAAAAGAGAGCTATTATCACTTTTTCCATCAATCTTCAAATTACCCACCGCACTCTAAAAATAAAATTCACGTATTAGTTTTATTTTCCAAAGAATAGGTTAACTTAATAATATTTGCCTTTCTTTACTATTACATAAAAAAATAAAAAATTTTATAAAAAGTTTAAATATTCAGAAAAAAATGTTGATATCATTCTTTTTAAGTTCAATTACTCAACACGAAAATAAATAATGTAAACTGTACATTTTTAAATTAATAAAAAAATTTTTTAAATAAATAAACCACTTGCTAAAAAATTTAATAAGATTTCCTTTTACCTTTATAAGAATATAAATCTTCCAGATAATTGATTACTAATTTCTTAATAAAATGTAATAAAAAAAACGAGTTGTATTTTTACAATAAAACTTACGTTTTGTTTTAAGAGAAGACATACGTGATGTCCTTGAAGGGAATGTCCGTAGAGAGAAGCAGTATCGTCAATTTGCTCAACAAGAGTGAGATGACATTTTTGACAAATTTTATTTAAAGCATCGCTAAAATCTTCACATCGAGATACTTCTTTTTTTATTTTAGCTGTTAGTTGGCCACTTTTTAATAACTCCGTGAGAATATCTCTATGTGAAAGATGACCAATCATAAAATTACTGCACGACAATTGCATTGTAAAATCAAGTTTCTCTTGCACCGTTCCTATTGAACTTTCTACCATGTAAGTCAAACTTCCACGCAATTTTTGAGGAAAAGTAACGTCTGATACAATAATAGAAAGTTCAGCTTCAGTATTTGTTTTCGGCAGCAATTGAAAATTTAATTTAATTCCAAATTCGTCCTGTGGCTAGAAATAAAAAAAGATACAACAGTTCATTTTAAATATAAAGTGAAAATAACAAAGATAGAGAGTTAAATATGAATTTTCTAAAAAATTTTAAGGATTGATGAAAAATAGTGGAGTAGAATATAAAAAACAAAATGTTGATAATTTGAAGAAATATCTAAATAACTAAAATGATGATATTCGCTCTTGTATTTTGAATTTTTTTTCTATTAAGCAGACTTCGCACTCGATAATTAATTTTAAAAAAAGTAGAAAAAAGTAGTTTTCAAACTAAAAAAAGTAATAAAAAAGTAGCTATGGAAAAATTAAAATTGAAGACCAAAAAAACTCGTTTTAAACACTTCACAAAACTGACAAAAATTCCATTGTATATTTTATTTTCCTGACTTTTCCATAACTTTCATCAAAAATATTTATTTATTTCTTATCCTGCTAATAAATTGAATTCCTGCAACGAATTTTATTATTAATGAAAGAATGTAAATATTAATAAAAATAATATAATTCTTGCAAAGAATTTTATAAAAAAAGTTTTAAATAATTGCTTTCTTTCGACTTATTTTTATGCAAATTCTAATTTAAATAATTAAATTCCAGAGAAATTTTTATTATTCATGAAAATAATTGAATTGTTACCACAATTTTTACAAAAAAAATTTAAATTATTGAATTCAGTTTTGCAATTTTATGAAAATAGTAGATATTAAAAATCATTGACTTGCAAAAGGTTTTTAAAAATAATTAAATTTTACAAAGAATTCAATAAAAATTTTTGACAATAATTCAATGTCTGTGTGGTATTTTATTAAATTTTTTTTAAAATAATTGAATTCCTAAAAAGCATTTTATTATTTATGAAAATAATTGAATTCTTGCGAAAGATTTTATTACAATTTTTTTAAAAAATTGAATTTCCAAGAAGGATTTTACTACTTTCAAAACAAAATTGAATTCTTTTGATGAATACTGATATTTACGAAAATAATTGAATTTTGCAAAGAGTTTTATTAAAAATGTTTCAAAATAATTGGATTTTCGGGAATAATTTTGTTATTTATCGACATAATTGAATTTTTTCGAATAATTATTTATGTAAATAATTAAATTCTTGGGAAGAACTTTATTAAAATCTAATAGAATAATTAAATTATTTCAAAAAAATTGTATTTAAAATAATTGATTTCTTTCCAACAATTTTATTAAAATATTTGAAAACAATTAAATTGCTGTAAAAAAATTCTAATATTTTTGTAAGTAATTGAATTTTTGCAAAAAAAAATAATAAAACATTTTTTTAATTAATTGATTTTTCCGAGGAATTGAAATCAAATTTTTAAGAATAATTACATTTATCAAGCAATTCCTGTGAAATTGTATTAAAAATAATAGAAATCCTGCGATGAATTTTATTATTTATGAAAATAATTGAATAGTTGCAAAGAATTTTATTAAAATTTTCAAAAATAATTTAATTCCTGCGATGAATTTTATTATTTATGAAAATAGTTGAATAGTTGCACAAAATTTTATTAAAATTTTCAAAAATAATTTTTAATTCCTGAGAATTGAATTTGTGTAAAAAATTTTATTTTTGAAAATAATTGTATTTTTTTAAAGAATTTTATAAACATTGTTTTAAATAATCCATTCTTTCGAAATATAATAAATATTATGAAAATCTTATTTTAAATAATTGAATTCTTGTGGAAAATTTTATTTGTGAAAGTAATTGAACTTCTCGAATAATTAATTTAAAGATCTGTGGAAATTTTATTATTTATGAAAATAATTGAATTTTGGATGAATTTTATTGATTTTTTTTAAATTCGAATTCTTTTGCGAAATTTTATGAAAATACTAGACATTGAAAATAATTGAACTTCGAATATTTTTTGAATATATAATTGAATCGTTGTAAAGAATTTAATTATAATTTTTAAAAATAGTTTTTTGATTTCTAGTATTAGCGAATATAAAGTAGTGAAAATTCCCAAAAAAGAACAGAAATAGTAGCTTTTAGTGGCTGAAATTTAAAAAAAGTACCCAAATAGTAACATAACGTTAAAAAAGTAGTAAATAGGTTTTAGTAGATGGGTGCGAAGCCTGAAAAAAACTAAATAAATAATAACAAAATTTGAACAATTTTTAATACAGTAAAGAATAAAATTGAACTATTTTCTAAATAGATGGAAAAAATGTACTTACAGATCTCTCAAGTTTCAATGTCGATGAGTCGGATACATTAAAGACCAATTCTTTAACAAGATTTTCTCCAACATTAGTTAAAAGAATAGCCGTTATTACTTTATTCGTTTCAAGAGGTAGCTGTTTTAATTCATACACCATACTTATTGTTTTGTCACTAGCTAACTTTTGATACATGGGAATTTTCATCCCAGGAGAAATCATACTGATTTCCGACAATTTAATATCATTTGATACAATCTCTTTAGAGGGTGTAGAAATTCCAGCTGTTTCCTCATAACCAGATGTTTTTTTCACTTTTTTTTCTTTATTTTGTTTAGATTTTCTCTTGTGCTTAAAATGCTCATTAACATCCTCCGCATGTTTCTCGGCATTTTTTGACTTTTTGTATTTACCTTTCTTACTCTCATGTTTCCTAATGCCAGTGGTATTCTCTTCAGCTTCTTGCGATTTTTCCGTTTGACTCATTAGCCAGAGATTAACACCTTCATCTTCTTTTAATTGCTCATTTGATTGACTTTCTTTTGCATTTCTACGTCTTTTCTTAGATTTGTGATTCTGTAAAATCGTAAAAATTTTATTGATTTATATTAAATTTTATTCTTATATTTAGATAAATTTATTTTTAATTTTAATGAATTAACAACTGTTCAGGGTTGCAACGCTTTTTCTCATTTCAAATTCCCTGACTTTTCCATGTTAAAAAACGGAATTTTTCCAGGTTTTTAAAACTACATTTGTTGCCAACAAAAATTTAATTTTGTTTTTCCCTGACTTTCCCTTGAATTCCAGACAAAATTCTTACTTTTCTTTGACTCTAAAAAATATTCTGATTCAGTTCAAAAATTATTATTCAGAAAAATGTTCTATTACTTCTTTTTTAAATAAATATTTAATCATTATTATTTTTCCATAAGAGTTAAGGTTTTCAAAAATTTCGAATTCAAATCTTTTTGAAATTAGACAATTTAAAAAAAATTGTTATAAAACATGAAAAAATCGATCACTCTGAGTTTTCGACTCGGAGCAATCGATATCTTCGTGTTTTATAATAATTAGAGAGGATCGAGTTTTAAATTCATTATTTTATATTATAAGGATATTGTTACTGTAACTTCATAAAAATTATTTTTTTATCATTTAAAATTGTATTAAAAATAATTGAATCTCTGTAAAAAATTTGGTTGAATTGAGAAAATTTTTTGAAAATAATTAAAATTTTGCAAAGAATTTTATTAAAATTTTTAAAAATAATTGAATTTTAAAGATAATTGAAATTTTGACGAGAATTTTTTTTTAAACTTTTGACCAAAATTGAAATTTTGCGAAGAATTTTATTACTTTTGAAAATAATTGAACTCTTGTGACGAATTTCAATAATATTTCTTTTTAAATAATTAGTTTTACTATTTATTAAAATAATTGATATCCTTTAAAGAATTTTATTATTTATACGCAAAATAATTGAATTCCTGTAAAAAATTTTATCATTTGTAGAAATAATTAAATTATTGGAAAGAAATTTATTAAAAACTAGCAAATAATACGCGCGCTAGTGCGCGGAACGCGGTATTTCATTTGTTATTATTTTGTAAAATAAAATTCTTCTCAGAAATTCAATCATTTTTAAACATTGTAATACAATTTTTCTAAACAATTCTTCTTAAAATTCAACAAGAATATTGAAATAAATTCTTAAAAACAATTCAATTATTTTAAAGAATTATAAATAAAAAATCTTGACAAGAATTAAATTATTTTCAAAACAATTTTAATTACATTTTGTCAAAAGAATTTAATTATTGAAAAAAATGTTGATAAAATTCTTGAAATGAATTCAATTATTTTCAAATTTTTTGATAAAAGAATTCAATAATTTTCATTACATTGACAATTAAATTATTTTTGAAAATAACTGAATTCTTCAATAGAATTTTATTAAATCCTTTTTAAATAATTGAATCTCTGCGAAAAAATTCCTGTGAAAAATTTACTATTTATTGATATTATTGAATTCTTTCAAAGAATTTAAAAAAAATGTTTAAAAATAATTTTATTTTCCCTGGAATTCAATTAAAATTGTATTTAAAATAATTTAATTCCAGCGAAAATTTCATTATTTTTAAAAATAATTTAATTCTTGAATTGAATTTTATTAAGTTTTTTAAATATAATTGAACTCCTGTGAAAAATCCAATTATTTTTTAAAATAATTGAATTTTCTAGGAGAATTTTAAAAAGATTTTTTAAAATAATTGAAATTTCCAAAGAAATCAATTAAAATTGTATTGAAAATAAGTGAAATCCTAATAAGAATTTTATTATGTATATATAATAATTTAATTTATTACTAAGATTTTTAATATTTATAAATTGACTTTTTGCAAAGAATTTTATTACAATTATTATGAAAAATAATTGAATTCTTCATAAAATTCAAATACTTTCAAACTTTCCAGTAAAAATTATTTTTAAAAAATCCACTATTTTTAAGAATATTGAAATAAATTCTCAAAAACAATTCAATTAGGATTTTAAAGAATTTTAATAAAAATCTTGACAAGAATTAACTTATTTTCAATACAATTTTAATTGTTTAATTTAATTCATTTTTTTTATGAATTCAATTAATATAGATTTGTAAATAATAGAATTTTTGTTAAATTTTTCTTATTTAATTAATTCGTTTAAAATTTAAATTTTCTAAAATTTTTTATTATTTATTTTTATTTTTTTATTTATTTCTAAAATTTTTTTATGAAAATTGTAAACGCAACTCTTTTAAAATTGAATTAATTTTGAAATATTTAAGTAAAATTAAATTTCAAGAATAAGCACAATAACACTTTAGAAAACAATAAATAATTTTCCAGGATTCCGATTAAAATTCAAGGTTTATAAAATTCCCTGACATTTCCAGGTTTTCAGGTTGCGTGGCAACCCTGACAACTATTCTATAATTATAAAAAGTACCTTTTCTTTCTTAATATTTATGGATTCAATTTCATTATCTTCGACACTTCGATGTTGCAAAACTGGTAAACCTTCATCCTCCCTTAATGGTAAATCTAAATCAACATTTAGAGCTCGATGTGGATCATTTGCATCAACATCGTCATCGTCATCGCTGCCACTTAACTTTGCTCCAGGTGGCAATTCTCCTATTCCAGTATTCACCAGTTGCGACGGATAATTTTCATTTTGTTCATCTTCTGAACTACCTGATTTCCTACCTGAAAAAATTTTTATAACATTTTTATTATTATTATTATTATTATTATTATTATTATTATTATTATTCCTCGCTCACTTTTTTAAATGAAATTAGCAATTTTCATAAATAAATGAAATTCAAACGGTTTCAATTTAAAATTTTATAAAATTTCAATGTTGAATGAATTTAATTAGAAATTTCAATGAACTTGGATTTTTGAAAAATTTTAATAATTCAAAATCTTCTAAAATTAGTTAATTTGTCAATATATATATTTAATTAATTATTTAAAATAAAGGATTTATAAACGAATTTCAGTTAAAAACACGAAAAAAAATTGAATTTTGTGAAAGTTACAAATTATTGCAGAAATTCAATTATTTTTAAAAGTAATAAAATTCTTATCACAAAATTCAATTATGTTCAAAATTTACAAAAAAATCTCAACAAAATCCCAATTATTATCTTTATAAATAAAAAAATTCTTCTTCAAAATTCAATTATTTTAAAAATTTTTAATAAAATACTTGTCAGAATTTCAATTATTTTCAAAAAATTTCCTCATTTCAATGATTTTCAATATCTACTATTTTAATAAAATTACCCAAAAGAATTCAATTATTTCAAAACAATTTTAATAAAATTGTATACAAACATTTAATTATTTTCATATATAATAAAAATTTTATAGGAATTCAAGTATTTAAAAATTTTTATAAGTTTTTTTCCAATAATTCAATTTTTTTCGTAAATAATAAAACTCATTGTAGAATTTCAATTTAATTATTTTTAATACAATTTTAATCAAATTCCTTGAAAAATGTAACTATTGTAAAAAATTTTATTAAAATTAGTCAAAAGAATTCAATTATTTAAAAATTTGTTAATAAAATTCTTTATAAGAATTAAATTTTAAGAAACATTTAGAAATAATTAAATTCTTCTCCGCAATTCAATTATATTTTCAAAAATTTTAATAAAATTTTTGGCAAAATTTCAAGTATTTTCAAAAACTTTCATCAATTCAATGATTTTCATAAATAATAAACTTTTTACGGGGATTCAATTGTTTTCGTAAATAATAAAATTCTTTTTAGAAATTCAATTATTTTCATAAACAATAAAACTCATTGCAGAAATTTAATTACTTTTAATACAATCTTAATCGAAGTCCTCGAAATAATTCTTAAAATTTTTTTCTTTATTTGTCAAAAGAATTCAGTTTTTTAAAAATTTATAGATAAAATTCTTTATGATAATTTAATATTAAGAAACATGCAATTATTCAATAAAAGTTTATTTTTGTATTTGAATAATTGATCTCTAGTAAAATTTTCTAGGCCTGTGCGGTATTAAAAATCCATAACCGGTTTTCGGTTTTTGAAAAAACCGGTTCTTCAGTCGGTTTTCGGTATTAAAAAAAATACCGGTATATTTTTTTAAACTGGTTTTTTTAAAAATACCGGTATTTATTTTTAAACCGGTTTTTTTTAAAATTGGTATTTTTTTTAAACCGGTTTTTTTTAAACCGGTATTTTTTTAAATACCGGTATTTTTTTAAAAACTGTTTTTTTTAAATACCGGTATTTTTAAAAAAAACCGTTTTTTGAATACGAGTATTTAAAAAACGGTTTTTCAAATACCATTTTATTTAAAAAGAAAACTGGTTTAAGAAAATTTGGTTTATTATAAAAATCAGGTAGTTTTTCAAAAGCAACATTTTTTAATTGATCTGTTAAGTAAAAAAAATCACTGCACACGGAAAAATGTAAGGTGCACATGCTATACCTTTCAAAAAATGTATCCAACAATTAACTTCACTTCATATAAAAACAATAGGAAATAATAAGTGTAAAGTGAATTGAATAGTAAAATTTTTAGACGGGGATAACCGATGCACCAAAAGGTACAGATACTCTCCCAAACATTTTTCCGTGTATGCCTAATAAAAACAAAAAAGATTAATATTTCCCAATCATCTGTTTCTGTTCTGGCTTTATGTCACTTTTGCGCAGGCATAATGCGCAAGTCGGTTAGATTCAGTATTTCCTGAAAAACCGGTTTAAAAAATAAAACCGGTATTTCTTGAAAAACCGGTTTAAAAAATAAAACCTGTTAAAAAAACAAAACCTTAAACCGGGAATTCATAACCGGAAACCGGTTTCCAAGAATACCGAAAAAAAACCGGTATACCGGTTTACCGCACAGGCCTAAAAAAGATTAATATTTCCCAATCATCTGTTTCTGTTCTGGCTTTATATCACTTTTGCGCAGGCATAATGCGCAAGTCGGTTAGATTCGGTATTTCTTGAAAAACCGGTTTAAAAAAGAAAATCGGTTTTTCGAAAAAAACCGGTTTAAAAAATAAAACCGGTTAAAAAAACAAAACCTTAAACCGGGAATTCATAACCGGAAACCGGTTTCCAAGAATACCGAAAAAAAACCGGTATACCGGTTTACCGCACAGGCCTAAAAAAGATTAATATTTCCCAATCATCTGTTTCTGTTCTGGCTTTATATCACTTTTGCGCAGGCATAATGCGCAAGTCGGTTAGATTCGGTATTTCTTGAAAAACCGGTTTAAAAAAGAAAATCGGTTTTTCGAAAAAAACCGGTTTAAAAAACAAAACCTTAAACCGGTAATTCATAACTGGAAACCGGTTTCCAAGAATACCGAAAAAAAACCGGTTTACCGCACAGGCCTAGAATTTTCTCATAAACATTGATTTCAGTTAAAATTTTAGATTATAATTGAATATTAAAAGCATTATAATGGAAATTTTTGAGTAATAATTTAATTTTGAAAAGGTTTCAAATTAAAATTTTTGAAAAATAAAATTTTTCATACTTTTAACTAACAATTCTGTAGAATTAATTTTTTTTGAAAAAGTTTAATTGAATTTCTTTTGAAATTATTTCAAGTTTTTATTTTCTAAATATTTAATTGAAGAGTTTACAAATAATTGAAATTTTGTAAAATTGAATTTTGTAAAAAATGGATTTGAAAAATCTTAAAAGTACTTTTTCAAAAATCATTTAAAAAAATGGATTTATAGAAGATGTTTAGTTAAAAACACGAAAAAAAATTGAATTTTGTAAAAGTTATAAATTATTGCAGAAATTCAATTATTTTCAAAAGTAATAATATTTGTGTAGAAATTTTGTGGTTTGTAGGATCAAATTTAAAATGAAAAAAACTAAATTTTTAAATTTTTTTAGACGTTTCGATCCTCGTTTGGATCCTCTTCAGTAGTTTTATTGATATTCTGCAAATTACATATATTTTAGTTTGATAATAAAATGGTAATGAATTATTTGTATATACATGAATTAGGAATGAATGAAATTTATTAAGAAGACATTAAAACTCATACCTGGTTACATAACACAATTTTTGCACATTATTGTTGTTTCACTTTTTTTTAAAAATTTTTTTAAACATTTAAAAATTATTTATTTATTTCTCATTTTTTAAATTAAAACAAAACACTTATAGACAATACCAATGAATTGAGAAGTGAGATAAACTTGAGATGTGATATGTTTGGCTGTTTTTTAAATACTGAAGACTTTTGACTTTTCGGTTTTAAGTTAACATGTGTTTTAACTTTTATGGTTTGTAAAGATTCTGTATGGCGACTAAGTGGTTGGAAGAAATTGTGTGAGACGTAGTAATATGAGAAATATATATTTTTTAATTTTCTTTTCTTTTATTTTCTTTTAAATTTATTTATTTTTAGTTCCCTATAATTTTTCGTTTGCATTTTTTTCTTTCCTTTTTTTTTTTTTCCCCCTTTTTTTGGTATAAATTATTTTTTAAATCTTTTGAGAAGTGGTAAATAAATTTCTGATAGATGTTCAATATCTTTTCTTTCGTTAACCGAGTTTAAAGTAACAATGCGAGTCATTTCTAAAACCAATCTTTTTCTATATTTTTCAGTTTTATTTAAAATTGTTGTATTATCGAAGTCGAAAGTGTGGTTATATTTGTCAATATGTCTAGTTAGTGCTGTTTGTTTGTCTTGTGGTTTTAAGTAGTCTCTTTTGTGTTCATAGAGACGGTTTTTTAGAAATCTTTTCGTTTGTCCAACATAATTGCCTGGACAATTGTTACAGGGAATGGAATAAACTATATTTGAATTTTGTTCCTTTGTTAGTTTGTCTTTATTGCTTGTGAATATTTGTGAAAGATTGTTAGTTGATTTAAACGAAGTGTTAATATTTTCTTTTTTCAAGATTTTTGCTAATTTTTCTGACATATTTTTTATATAAGGTAAAGATATAAATGTTTTGGAATCAATGGGTTGTTGATTCTGAATTTGTGTTGAATTTTTTTCCCTGTCGTTTAAGGTTGTTACTCTTTTTTTGATATTTGTTTCTATAAATTGAATGGGGAATCCATTATTTATAAGAAGTTTTTTGATTTTAACCAAATTGTCATTATGAAACTGATTGTCTGAAAGTTTAATAGCTCTATCTACTAAATTATTTAACACATTTATTTTATATGTTTTCGCTTGATTCGATTCAAAATGTAAATACCTTCCTGAAAAAATGTCTTTTTGGAACCAATTCGTTATAATTTTTTCATTGTCTTTTATTAACGTAACATCTAAGAAATTAATTTGACAATTCTTTTCTAATTCATATGTAAATTGAATATTTTTGAATTTACTATTAAAAAGATTATAGAAATTTTCTACTTGATCATTTGGTATTGCAGTTAATATGTCATCGACATATCTAAAAAAGAAAGGAAGACAGTGAGGGAATTCTTTGAGGCAAGTTTGTTCTATTAAATCTAATACTGTTGTTGCAAGTATTGGTGACAGCGGGGAGCCCATGGGTAGACCATGTTTTTGCTTAAAATGTTGATTGTCATATTGAAAGTAAGAATTTTTTAGGCATTTTCTTAATAATTCTTCAAAGCGTGTTTTTGGAATTTTTGTGAATGGTTTTATTTCATCCCATCTCGTTTTTATACAATTGATGGCTAAACCAGTTTGTATATTTGTGAACATTGATTTTACGTCAAGAGAAAGAAGTAAATAATTATCAGGGATTGTAACATTTTTTAATTTTGTAATGAGTTCAAAACTATTTTTTACTTGAGATTCAGGAGGTTTTAATGATTTTGTTAGAATATCACTTAAAAATTTAGCAGTCGGATAGGTCGGACTACCAATAAATGAAACAACAGGTCTTAATGGAATGTTGTTTTTGTGAAGCTTTGGTAGACCATATATTTTTGGTGCAATACCATTTGTAACTTTGAGTGTTTTTGCGGTTTCATTTGTTATATAAAGTTTTTCATGTAGATATTTGATATCATTATTAATTTCTTTTTGAATTTGTTGAGTTGGATCAGATTTTGTTTGAGTGTAAATGTGTTTATCAAATATAAGATCTTTCATCTTTTTGTCATAGGATGTTTTTGTCATAGCAACTGTAGTGTTAGTTTTGTCTGATTTTGTGAAAAAAACACGACTTTGAATCAAACATACATAAAATTAATGAAGAGAATCGCGCAGATGTTCGTTTAAAATTTGTACAAATGATAGATAATCAATTAAAAAAAGAAAAATCCAAACAATCATCTACACGATCACATAATCTCTCTTTTAATGAACATTATAAACAAACCAAACTTTTTCTAAAAAATACCCAAAATGTTTTTTTCACAAAATCAGACAAAACTAACACTACAGTTGCTATGACAAAAACATCCTATGACAAAAAGATGAAAGATCTTATATTTGATAAACACATTTACACTCAAACAAAATCTGATCCAACTCAACAAATTCAAAAAGAAATTAATAATGATATCAAATATCTACATGAAAAACTTTATATAACAAATGAAACCGCAAAAACACTCAAAGTTACAAATGGTATTGCACCAAAAATATATGGTCTACCAAAGCTTCACAAAAACAACATTCCATTAAGACCTGTTGTTTCATTTATTGGTAGTCCGACCTATCCGACTGCTAAATTTTTAAGTGATATTCTAACAAAATCATTAAAACCTCCTGAATCTCAAGTAAAAAATAGTTTTGAACTCATTACAAAATTAAAAAATGTTACAATCCCTGATAATTATTTACTTCTTTCTCTTGACGTAAAATCAATGTTCACAAATATACAAACTGGTTTAGCCATCAATTGTATAAAAACGAGATGGGATGAAATAAAACCATTCACAAAAATTCCAAAAACACGCTTTGAAGAATTATTAAGAAAATGCCTAAAAAATTCTTACTTTCAATATGACAATCAACATTTTAAGCAAAAACATGGTCTACCCATGGGCTCCCCGCTGTCACCAATACTTGCAACAACAGTATTAGATTTAATAGAACAAACTTGCCTCAAAGAATTCCCTCACTGTCTTCCTTTCTTTTTTAGATATGTCGATGACATATTAACTGCAATACCAAATGATCAAGTAGAAAATTTCTATAATCTTTTTAATAGTAAATTCAAAAATATTCAATTTACATATGAATTAGAAAAGAATTGTCAAATTAATTTCTTAGATGTTACGTTAATAAAAGACAATGAAAAAATTATAACGAATTGGTTCCAAAAAGACATTTTTTCAGGAAGGTATTTACATTTTGAATCGAATCAAGCGAAAACATATAAAATAAATGTGTTAAATAATTTAGTAGATAGAGCTATTAAACTTTCAGACAATCAGTTTCATAATGACAATTTGGTTAAAATCAAAAAACTTCTTATAAATAATGGATTCCCCATTCAATTTATAGAAACAAATATCAAAAAAAGAGTAACAACCTTAAACGACAGGGAAAAAAATTCAACACAAATTCAGAATCAACAACCCATTGATTCCAAAACATTTATATCTTTACCTTATATAAAAAATATGTCAGAAAAATTAGCAAAAATCTTGAAAAAAGAAAATATTAACACTTCGTTTAAATCAACTAACAATCTTTCACAAATATTCACAAGCAATAAAGACAAACTAACAAAGGAACAAAATTCAAATATAGTTTATTCCATTCCCTGTAACAATTGTCCAGGCAATTATGTTGGACAAACGAAAAGATTTCTAAAAAACCGTCTCTATGAACACAAAAGAGACTACTTAAAACCACAAGACAAACAAACAGCACTAACTAGACATATTGACAAATATAACCACACTTTCGACTTCGATAATACAACAATTTTAAATAAAACTGAAAAATATAGAAAAAGATTGGTTTTAGAAATGACTCGCATTGTTACTTTAAACTCGGTTAACGAAAGAAAAGATATTGAACATCTATCAGAAATTTATTTACCACTTCTCAAAAGATTTAAAAAATAATTTATACCAAAAAAAGGGGGAAAAAAAAAAAAGGAAAGAAAAAAATGCAAACGAAAAATTATAGGGAACTAAAAATAAATAAATTTAAAAGAAAATAAAAGAAAAGAAAATTAAAAAATATATATTTCTCATATTACTACGTCTCACACAATTTCTTCCAACCACTTAGTCGCCATACAGAATCTTTACAAACCATAAAAGTTAAAACACATGTTAACTTAAAACCGAAAAGTCAAAAGTCTTCAGTATTTAAAAAACAGCCAAACATATCACATCTCAAGTTTATCTCACTTCTCAATTCATTGGTATTGTCTATAAGTGTTTTGTTTTAATTTAAAAAATGAGAAATAAATAAATAATTTTTAAATGTTTAAAAAAATTTTTAAAAAAAAGTGAAACAACAATAATGTGCAAAAATTGTGTTATGTAACCAGGTATGAGTTTTAATGTCTTCTTAATAAATTTCATTCATTCCTAATTCATGTATATACAAATAATTCATTACCATTTTATTATCAAACTAAAATATATGTAATTTGCAGAATATCAATAAAACTACTGAAGAGGATCCAAACGAGGATCGAAACGTCTAAAAAAATTTAAAAATTTAGTTTTTTTCATTTTAAATTTGATCCTACAAACCACAAAATTTCTACACTAATATAATAATTGGATCACAAAAGAGTCTTATATTCAGTAATAATATTCTTCAAAAAAATTAAATTTTAATCAAAAGTATTAAAATATTCTTCTTAGGGATTCAGTTATTTTCACAAATAATAAAACTCATCGCATAATTTCAATTATTTTTAATATAATTTTAATCGAATTTCTCAAAAAATGTAATTATTCTTAAAAATTTTATTGAAATTCGTCAAAAGAATTCAATTATTTAAAAATTTGTTGATAAAATTCTTTATGAGATTTCAATTTTAAGAAACATTCAATTATTCAATAAATTATTTATTTTTGTATTAAAATAATGGAATTCTCGTAGAATTGTCTAATAAAAATTTATTTGAAAATGAATTTTAGTTTAAATTTTCGACAATAATAGAATATGAAAATAATTTTTATGAAGTTACAGTGTAACAATATTTTTATAATATAAAATAATGATTTTAACACTCGATCCTCTTTAATTATTATAAAACATGAAGAAATTGATTGCTCCGAGTCGAAGACTCGGAGTGATCGATTTCTTCATGTTTTATAACAATTTTTTTATAATTGTTTAATTTTAAAAAGGTTTGAATTTAAAATTTTTGAAAATCTTAATTAATATGGAAAAAATAATAATAATTAAATATTTAAAAAAGAAATTATTGTTTTCGAATAATTTTACAATTAATGATATTCGTCAAGAAATTTAACAGAACTTTTTTTTTCAATAAAATTGTTTCCTTTATTTTCTAAAAATTCAAAAATTTTCAGTTTCATTTTCAATTAAATTTTCTAATTGACAAATATAATTTATAAACATTTTTTCCTTTATTTTTAAAAAACTTTGTATTTTATTAAAACAATTGAAATTAAGAAATAGAATTGATGCAAATTATTTCCTTATGAAAATTGAGAATTTTCTACAAAAATATTAAGAAACGGGAATATCTAATGTTCTTCTTCCCAAAAGAAAAAAATGAGTTTGTAAACAATATTGTTATTGAGAAATAAAAATTATGCATAAAATGGGTATATTTCCTAATTCTTAATCAAAATTTTTTAACAATTAACAATTTTCTAGTATTTTTTATAAATAAAAAGGAGAATAATTTGCATAATAATTTAGATCAGTCAAACGAAATTTGTTATAGAAAAAAGCATATAACAAACAAAATGGGTTTATTTTTTATTTGTTAAACATAATTTTTGTTTAAATTTTCTAATTTGTAATATTATTTTATTATAAGTCAGGAAAAAATACCTGCATATTTTCGATTTGTCAAACAATACCTATTTTTTAAAGAAAAAAAAAGCAAAAGCATACACAAAAACTAACTTCAAACTGTGGAAAGAATGAATGAAAGAATACGGAGATTAATATAGTTAATAATAATTATTATTTATAAAAAGTAAAACATACCTTTACTTCTTTTTGATCTTTTCTTTTTATCCATCTTTTTATGCTTCTTTTTATTAGATTCTTTATCAATGTTGAAATATTTCGTCGAACATCTAAAGTCGGAAATTTTCAACGAAACAGGAATATCAAGTTCAGCAACGGGAATATTATCAAAGTTTTCACCATCATTATTTGAATTATGATACGACAATGGATTTTTGTTACTCGAAACTTTAAGATAATGGGGATTATTTTCCTGTTCCAACATTCTTGCCTCTCTCTGTTTTTGAAGCTGTTCATTAGTTAATTCATATGATTCTCGTTTAGCAAAACTATCAGATTTTTCGGCTTTTACAAAAATCTCGTTCATATCTGGACCTTCTGAGTCAGAATTATCAGAAGGTGGATTATTGATCCATGAGTCCAAATCTAAGTTCGCTGGTATTTGGACCTGAAATAATTATTATTTTCATTATCATAATCATTAAATTTAGATGATTTATAAAAATTACTATAAATTTAGAATCATTACCTTCTTTTGTGCTTTAGGAGCCACAGGATTTAATTCTCCAACAAAAGCATTTGTTAATTCTAAGGCCAATTCTGGATTTTCTTTTAAACATTCCAGCAGAGCCACTGCAGAACTTGACCTTTCCTGTACTTCTAAATCACTACTGCATATAAAATCGGAAAGTTTCTCCTTGAGAAGGAAAATCTAGAAAAAAAATTTTATTGCACGAAAATCAAGTTTGTGACTAAAAATACACATTAAATAGAAACACGTATAATATTTAGTTCAACCATTTTTAGACAAGAATTATTAATTTTGAAACAAACCTGTTCCATTACATCAGTATTGTTATCTTGCACTGCTTTATTTAAAACATGGGCAGAAAGTTTAACAATATTATGGACATACACTGCTTGAATATGTCCAGGTAATGATGACGCTTGAGATCGAATCATTGATTGCAAAGTTCCCAAGGGATCATCCAGTTCTCTAAAATATTTACATTATTTTTAATATATAATACGTAAAAATTATAAAATTTAAACATATACAGGCTTCACAGTGCCCCTAAAAGGTATTTTAGGGGAAATAGGGGACTGAAAATAAAAAAATAGGGGACTTTTAGGGGACCATAAAAATTGATTAAATAAAGATAAAAATATAATTTATTTATACAGGGTTCCTACAAAAATTTAACTTTATTTTTCCCTGACTTTTCCCTCATTTCCAAACACAACTTTCACTTTTTCCCTGACTCTAAAGAATATTCTGATTCACTCTAAAAATTATTAGATACTCAAAAAAATGTTCTGTTCAATTTATTTACAAATTTCTTCAAAAGTAAAATTATTCGAAAACATCAATAGTTTTATTTAAAATAAATATTTAATCATTCTTTTATTGAAATTAAGATGTTCAAAAATTTCAAATTCAAACCTTTTCAAATTGAACAACTCATAAGAATATTATTATAAAACATAAAGAAATGAATCACTCCGAGTCTTCGGAGTAACAATATTCTACAAGAACATTGTTACTGTAACTTCTTCAAAATTATTTGTATCATTTCAATTCAATTAACATTTTCTAGAATTTTTAACTAAAATTCTACTTTAAATCAATAACATCAATTATTATTATTATTCGTTTATTGTTTAGATCAGCATAAGATCCATACAAAAGAGTATTACATCGAACGTATATTGAGTAAAAATTCACAACAATCATACACTTATTTACTTAACAAAACGGTCTTGTTCAGCTCTACATTTTAAAATCTCGCAAACAATCAATACAAATTCCCTAATCAAGGATGGCTCATTAGTAGACATAACACTAAACCAATATTCAGCTGAATTCGATTTACAATCAAAAATCTTGGAATATTTATATCGAATCATGTTATATGTGGGGCAGAGGGTTAACATGTGTACCAGATTTTCAGGTTCCAAACCACACAGAGGGCAAAGATTATTTATTTCAACATTATATTTTTCTCTTCTTATTATTATCCTTGAATTATAGATATTCAATAATCTTATTTGCGCAAATATACGTTTATAAAACAGAGTCATTCGTTTGGATACCCAGTAAAAAAAAACTAATTCAAATGAATTGAAACGAATTAACATTTTTGGTAGGCTCCAATTCGTATTTGTCACAAAGCGGGATTCACTCAAGCTCTTTGTATATTCAATTGAATTTAATTCAATATGTACCAATTTGTCCAAACGAATTCGCATTCGAAAGAAATGGCCAAGGAATGCATTGAATTCGTGCTAACGAATTGAAAAAAATTAAAGGCTCAAAACTTGTCCAGTGAATTGGTACGGATAGAAGGTTCGGAAGTTCAATACAGTTTCACGAATTCAGGAAAATTGCATCATGGCTCCAATTCGTATTTGTCACAAAGCGGGATTCACGAAAGCTCTTTGTGAATTCTTTTTAATTCATTTCAATTAGTTTTCGTTTACTGGGTATATATGATTTTTCGAAATCTGTACTAATCAGGTTTGGCCAGAATTGCAAACTTTTTGAAATATTAATATAACTTCCGTCTTTTTCCCTTACAATAGACTCATATTTTTTAAAAATTTTTGTCGAGTTTTTAACTATGATTTCCAAAAAGCAAGAATCCCATATTTCTACGAAGCCGCAGACATCATAATAATCACTGAATTTTTGAAACCAGTTACCATTTATCATGCCTGCACTCCCGCTTTTTTTCCTCTTTGTTAGACTCATCAACTCCTCCACACATAGTCTTGGATAACGTGATTGGTCCATCCCTTTTAATTTTTCAAACCATGATGGAGTTAATTTTAATAAAGTGTATGACAATGGGAGAATATCAGTTTCCCTTCTGATTGCTATTGTTGGTGAGTTTATAGGTAGATGTAAAAGTTTTTTTAAGAAAGTTATTTGTACTTTTTCTAGCACATCTATATAATTTAACCCCCAAACCTGAATTCCATAAGCTACAATGCTCACAACAAAACTCTGAAATAGTTTCTTATAAGTACTCCAATTTTCAGCTTTTGAAACTGTTATGATTCTTAAACATGTTTTTATTGCCAGATTGGCTGAACTGGCAACTTTCCCTGTCATACTCTCAAAACCAAGTGTGTCAGAAATGATGAGCCCCAAATATTCAAACTCTTTAACTACTTCAATGTATTCATTATCATATTAAAAATTTTTTATTTTAATGGGACCTTGTCTATTACATTTGAAAATCATAATTTTAGTTTTAGAGGTATTCAATTTTAAATTATTTTCTTCACAATAATGTTGTAACGCATTCAACTTTCGTGTGCATTCTGAGGGTGTGTCAGCGATAATATCAATTATTATTCAATTAAACTTTTTCAAAAAAATTAATTCTACAGAATTGTTAGTTAAAATTAAAAAAAAAAATTTAATTCTACGAGAAATCAATTATTTAAATAGAAAAATAAATAATATTGAATGCTTCTTAAAATTAAATTTTTACGAAGAATTGTATTAAAAATTTATAAAAATATTTAATTTCTTTTATGGAATATAATTAAAAGTTTAATGAAATTTATTATATATTGAAGAATTTTATAACAATTTTTGAAAATAATTGAAAACTTTTTGAAGAATTTTATTCAATTTTTTAAAAATAATTGAATTCCTGAGAAGAATTTAAATAATAATTTTTGAAAACAATTGAATTCATGAGAAGAATTTTATTAAAATTTTTGAAAATAATTGACTTCTTGAAAAGAATTTTTCAAAAATTTTTGACAATGATTTAATTCTTGAGAAGAAATTTTCCTATCTATTTATAAAGATAATTTAATTCTTGACGAGAATTTTTAAAAAAAATGTTGAAAATAATTCAATTTCTGGAAAGTATTTTATTACTTTTCAAAAGAATTGAATATTGTCAAAGAATTTTATTATTTATGAAAATAATTGAATTTTAAAATGAATTTTATTCAAATTCCTAAAAATAATTGAATTTTGTCGACGAATTTTTCTATTCATTTATAAAGATAATTGAAATGTTCACAATTTTTTGTAGATTCTTTAAAAATAATTGAATTTCTGCGAAGAATTTTATTAATTTTGAAAGTAAGTGAATTTTCTCAAAGAATTTTATTAATTTTGAAAATAAATTCAATTTTTGCAAAGTATTTTATTACTTTTCAAAAGAATTGAATTCTTGTGATGAATATTGATATTTATCAAAATAATTGAATTTTGGAAAAGAATTTTATTATAAAATTCCTTATAATAATTGATTTTATGGGAAGAATTTATGCGATTTTGTTGTTTATCAAGCTAATTGAATTCTTTTGTAAAATTACTTGAAAATTTTTGAAAATAATTGACTTTCTGCGACGAATTAAATGTTATTTATGGAAATATTTGAATTATTGCAACAAATTTCATTGTTTTATTGAATAATTGAATGTTTCTTAAAATTGAATTCCTTCCTCAAGTTTTAATAAAATTTTCAATAATAATTGCATTTTTCAAGGAATTTATTTAAAATTGTATTAAAAATATTTGAAATTCAGTGATGAAAATAATTGAATTCGTAAATGAAATTGTATTATTTATGAAAATAATTGAATCTTTTCGTAGAATTGTATCAAAAAGTTTTTCCTATAATTAAATCTGTTGATAAATTTTATGAAAATAGTAAATAAAATATTGAAAATTATTGAATTGCAAAAAACTTTTGAAAGTAATTGAACTTTTGCAAAGATTTTTATAAATGTTTGAGAATAATTGAATTTTTGGCGAAAAATTTTGCTATTTGTAAAGATAATTGAATTCTTGACGAGATATTTGTGAAAATTTTTAAAAATAATTGAATTTCTTTGAAAAATTTTATTACTTTTGAAAATAATTGAATTGTTGGGATAAATATTGAAATTTATGAAAATAATTGAATTTTGTAAAGAATTTTATTAAAATTCCTAAAAATTATTGAATTTCTGTGAAGAATTTTGTTATTTATCAAGATAATTGCATTAAAACTTTTGTAATAATAAATAATATTACAAAAAACAACCAACTTTTAAAAATAATTGAGACTTGACTTCACCAAAATACTAATCTTACAAATTTTATAAATTTGATGAAAAATTTCAAGATTTGAAACTTTCAAAACAAAAGTTTCCAATTGAAAGTTTCAACTGCACTTTGCTAAATTTGGTGTGAATTTATCATTAAAAGATAAAAGAAAAAAATAGGGGAAATTTAGGGGAAATTTTCAAAATAGGGTACGTTTAGGGGCCAAATATAAAAAAGGGGACTTTTAGGGAAATAGGGGACAGACTGTGAAGCCTGCATATAAACAATTAAAATTACTTTAAAATCGAAAAATCAAATGAATCGACTATCAGTCTTACTATTTAATATAGTTTTAAAATTCGTTTCAAAAATAACATTTTGACGCTATCCGATTAAATGTGACGCTTCATGCTGAAAGGAACCTTTCCAGTGTTTTAAACCTATATTTATTTTTTTACCAAATTCAGGGCTCGAACCAGTAAAAGGATTTAAAAATACGGACTTTACGTTATGCTACTATTTAGGTACTTTTTTTAGATTAATAAAATTCATCCAAAATTTAATTATTTTCATAAATAATAAAATTTCCACAGGAATTCAATTAATTTAGAATAGAATTTTTCAACAAAATTTCGAAAAAATCAATTATTTAACAAAATTTTTATCAACTTTTCACAATAATTCAATTACTTTCACTAATAATAACATTTTTCATGGAAATTTAATATTTAAACATTTTTTTTGATAAAATGCTAAGCATAAATCGAAGCATCGAAGACTTTCAGTTAGGATTATTTTTAAATACCTAATACTATTTTAAATTAATTAATCGAAAAATTCAATTCTTTTCACATATAAAATTTTTCGCAATGCAATAATTCAATTATTATTTTCATAAATAATAATTGTTTAAAAAATGTTTTTTAAAATTCTTTGAAAGAATTCAATTATATATTTACAAAAATATTAGAATTTTTCACAGGAATTCAATTTTTTTTAAAGTTATAAATTTCTTCTTGGAAATTTAATTATTTACAAAAACTCTAATAAAATCGTTCGCAAGAATTTAGTTATTTTTATAATAATAAAATTCTTTTTAGGAATTCAATTATTTTCAAAAAAATTTAATAAATTACCACACATACATTTAATTATTCTTAAAAATTTTAAAAGAATTCTTTGTAAAACTTAATTATTTTTAAAAACTTTTCGCAATTCAATGATTTTCAATATTTACTATTTTTATAAAATTTCCTAACAGAAAACAGTTTTTAAAAATCTTTGTAAGAATTCAATTATTTTCATGAACAATAAAAATTTCTCAGTAATTCAATTATTTAAATTAGAATTTGCATAAAATTAGTCAAAAGAAATCAATTATTTAAAACTTTTTTTATAAAATTCTTTGCAAAAATTAAATTATTATTATAAATTTTTACATTCTTTCATTAATAATAAAATTCGTTGCAGGACTTTAATTTATTAGCAGAATAGGAAGGAAGTAAATATTTATGATAAAAATTAGAACGAAGTCAGGAAAATAAAATATAGAAGGGAATTTTTGTCAGTTTTGTGAAGTGTCTTAAACGGGGTTTTTTAGACGCTAAGTTTAATTTTTAGATAGCTACTTTTTTAAAATTAACAATCGAGTGCGAAGTTTGTTTTTCGAAAAAATAAATTTTCAAATTTAATTATTTTTAAAAATTCACGCTATATTGCTTTTAATATTCAATTATTATCTAAAATTTTATCTGAAATTCATTTTTAAATAAATTTTTATTAGAAAATTCTACTAGAATTCGATTATTTAAATACAAAAATAAATAATTTTTTGAATAATTGAATGTTTCTTAAAATACAATTCCCATAAAGAATTTTATCAAAAGATTTTTAAATAATTGAACTCTTTCGATTAATTTTAATAAAATTTTTGAGAATAATTACATTTTGCGAGATATTCGATTAAATTGTATTAAAAATAATTGAAATCCTGCGATGAGTATTATTATTTGCGAAAATAATTGAATCCCTAAGAAGAATTTTATTATTTTTTAACAATGTTACATTTTTGCGAACAATATTATTACTCTTAAAAATAATTAAATTTCTGCAATAATTTGTAACTTTTACAAAAAAATTTTTTTTTTCAAGTTTCTAACTAAAATTTTTCTACAAATGCATTATTTTTAATGATTTTTGAAAAAGTTTTTTGAGAATTTTCAAATTCATTTGTTTACAATTCAATTTTACAAAATTTCAATTTTTCGCAAATTCTCCAATTAAATATATATTAGAAAATAAAAATTTGAAATAATTTCAAAAAAAAAATTTCCAATTATACTTTTTAAAAAAAAATTATTTACACAGAATTGTTGGTTAAAAAATGAAAAATTCAGATTTTCAAAGATTTTAATTTGAAACCTTTTCAAAATTCAATTATTTCTAAAAATTCTAATTGAAATGCTTTTAATATTCAATTCTAATCTAAAATTTTAACTGAAATCAATTTTTAATTCAATTTTTATTAGAAAATTCTACTAGAGTTCAATTATTTAAATACAAAAAAAACAATTTATTCAATAATTGAATGTTTCTTAAAATTGAATTCTCATGAAGAATTTTATCAAAAAATCTTTAAATAATTGAATTCTTTCAACGAATTTTAATGAAATGCATTTTTCGTGGAATTCAATTGAAATTGTATTAAAAATAATTAAAATTTTACAATGAGTTTTATTATTTATGAAAATAATTATATTATTGCAAAGAAATTTATAAAAAATTTGTAAATAATTGAATTTCTGTAAAATTTTTATTAGTTATGAAACTAATTAAATGTTTGTGTAGGATTTTTTCAAAAAATTTTTTTTAATAATTGAATTCTTTTGGAAAATTCTTGAAAATAATTGAAATTGAGTCAAGAATTTTATTAAAATTTTTGGAAATAATAGAATTTTGAAGATAAGTTTTATTATTTATAAAAGATAATTGAAATTTTGAACAGAATTTTTGTTTAAATTTTGAACATAATCTAAAATTTTAACTGGAATAAATTGTTAAATTAATTTTTATTAGAAAATTCTACGAGAATTTTATTCATTGAATAGATAGAAAAATAAATAATTATTAAATAATTGAATATTTGTTAAAATTGAATTGTCATAAAGAATTTTATCAATAAATTTTTAAATAATTGAATTCTTTTGACGAATTTTAATAAAATGTTTAAGAATAATTACATTTATTATTATACGTTTTATTATTTATGAAAATAATTGAATTCCTGAAAAGAATTTTATTATTTACGAAAGTAATTGAATACCTACCTAAAAAGAATTTTATTATTTATGAAAATAATTGAAACTCTGCAACAAAATGTTTATTATGTACTTGTAAAAATAATGGAATCATTGAAAAAAAATTTTTCCGGGAAATTTTATTAAAATATTTTTTAAATAATTGAAAATATTGCCAAGAATTTGATTATAATTTTTATAAATAATTGAATTTCGGAGAAGAATTTTATTACTTTGAAATTATTAAATTTCTGCAATCATTTATAACTTCTAAAATTTTTTTAGTTGTTTAAAAAGAAATTATTGACAGAAATAGAAAAATTTGAAGGTTTTGTATTAGATTTAAAAAATAAACACAATAACTTTAGAAAACAACAATTTTCCAGGATTTCGGTCAAAATTTCCTGACTTTTCTAGGATTTTTGAAGGTTTATAAAATTTTCTGACATTTTCAGGTTTTCCAGTTTTCCATGTTGCATGGCAATTCTGGAATTGTAGGTTATGTTTATGTTAGATTTATCTTGATAAAAATTTATTTTTTAATTATTTAAATTTGAAATCAGTTTTTTATTGAATATTTTTGGTGTAACAAAGACTTGAATATCAAGAATTCGTAATAGTAATTAATCTTTTTGTATTTTTACTTCAAAAATTATAAACATAACCTAAAAATCTTTGCTTCTTAGCCTTCTTAGGTACCTTTCTTGGGAGCTCGTCACAGATAATCCAATAGACTATCACTATGTCATTTGATATAAAAAATTCTAAGCTGAAACAGATACTCCACTTACTTTGAAAATTCTCCACAGATCCACGCTGCAGCGTATAAAACTTCAGACATAGTTGCCCTAGGCTGTCCAGCAAAAAAGCAAGCGTTCTCCAATAATAAGGCACACTGTTGAACAGCATATTTTCGAATTGCTTGAACACGTATTGCAACATCCAATAATTGAGTTGCTATTAATTGTCCGTGTTTTGTTCCCTCCATTCGTGTCAAATCCACTAAGACTGATATATACCTAAAATTAAGTATTACAATTTTTAGACTTAATTTCGATTTTATCTTTAATTAGAAGAGAAGAACAGAATTAATGAAGAATTAAAAGAACAAACCATTCAAAATACGTTATAAATTGATAATTATTCTGAGAGCAAATTTGTATAATTTTCGAGAGCAATTCATCCCGATAAATTGTGCCTTCAGCTTTATCCATATGGACCATAAGTTTCCTAACAATTTCCATTAGATTCTTCTTGGACACCATTCCATACAATAAGTCCAAGGCACGCAATCTTATACTTTCATCTTTGTCATCGAGGCACTGCATAATTAGGTCTTTATGAGCTTGAACACTTTTTGGATGAGTCTTTAAAATTTTTGACATTGCCAGCAATCCCAAGTATTTCAAATTTTGATCTGAATCTTCAATGAGAATTCTTAGTTTTTGTACGCACAGTTGAATGGAGTCAGAATGATTTGGCATACCAGACGAGATTGATATCAACACAGCTATAACAGTGTTGATACACTCGTAAAGTAGGGACATTGCAGATGTACTGAAAATTTAAGAAAGTAGTCAATTTATTTTTCAAAAATATTTATTATAAATAATATTGCGTCTATCTGGCAAAATATAAGCAAAACATATGAAACTTTCACTCAAGCTGTTCGAAAAAGTAATTATGAGAATTTGCAATTTGAAAGCAGTTCACTGCATTTTTAACCGATTTCGTCCAAGAAGTCCGTTTTTTCCCTTTATGTTTGTACTTACCATTTTCAAAGACTGTGGGCTAAAAAAAATTTACACATGGTGTTTCTTATGTATTTTTTAGTCCTCTTTCAGAAGCTGCAAGAAAATTTAAGTTTTGACTAAAGGATTAAAAGTTATGATTGTTTAAACAAAAAAAACAAAAAAATTTTGGGTTTTCTCTTCATTAAAACTGTATTTTCGATTGGAAATCCAGACTTCGCACTCAATAATTACATTTTTTTTAAAATAGCAAAAAGTAGCTTTCAAACTTAAAAAAAGTAGTAAAAAAGTTGATATCGAAAAATTAAACTTGACGACCAAAAAAATTCGTTTTAGACACTTTACGAAACTGACAAAAATTCCATTCTATATTTTATTTTCCTGACTTTTTCCTAATTTTCATTAAAAATATTTACTTCTTTCTTATCCTTCTAATAAATTGAATTCCTGCAACAAATTTTATTATTCATGAAAGAATTTAAATATTTATAAAAATAACTTAATTCTTGCAAAGAATTTTATAAATTTTTTTAAATAATTGATTTCTTTCTACTAATTTTTTGTAAATTCAAATTTAAATAGTTAAATTCCTCAGAAATTTTTATTATTCATGAAATAAATTGAATTTTTACAATTTTTACAAAAAAATTTTAAATAATTGAATTCTGTTTTGCAATATTGTATGAAAATAGTAGATATTGAAAATCATTGAATTGCGAAAAGTTTTTAAAAATAATTAAAATTTACAAAGAATTCTATTAAAATTTTTGAGAATAATTGAATGTCTGTGTGTCATTTTATTAAATTTTGTTGAAAATAATTGAATTCCTAAAAAGCATTTTATTATTTTTGAAAATAAATTGAATTCTTGCGAGCGATTTTAGTAGAATTTTTTTTAAATTATTGAATTTTCAAAAAGAATTTATTGCTTTTGAAAATAATTGAATTTTTGTGATGAATATTAATATTTATGGAAATAATTGAATTTTGCAAAGAATTTTATTAAAATGCCTCAAAATAATTAAATTTTCGGGAATAATTTTGTTATTTATCGACATAATTGAATTCATTCAAAGAATTATTTATAAAAATAATTTAATTCCTGTAAAAAATTTTATAAAAAATTTTAAATAATTGATTTTTTACGACTAATTTTATGCAAATTCTTATTTAAATACCTAATTGAATTCCTGAGAAATTTTTATTATTGATGAAAAGAATTGAATTCTTACAAAGATTTTTACAACAAATTTTTAAATAATTCAATTCTGTTTGGAAATTTTATGAAAATAGTAAATATTGAAAATCATTGACATAATTGAATTTAATAGATAAGAATTTAATAAGAAAAAATTTATTACTTTAAAAAATAATTGAATCCTTGTGATAAATATTGTTATTTATGAAAATAATTGAATTTTTTAATAATTTTATTAAAATACCTCAAAAATAATTGAATTTTTGGGAATAATCTTGTTATTTATGGACATAATTGAATTCTGTCGAAGAATTATTTATATAAATAATTGAATTCTTAGGAAGAATTTTATTAAAATCTAAAAGAATAATTGAATTATTTCAAAAAAATTTGATTAAATTTGTATTTAAAATAATTGATTTCTTTCGATCAATTTTATAAAAATATTTGAAAATAATTGAATTCCCGTTAAAAATTCTAATATTTTTTGTAAATAATTAAATTCTTCCAAAGAATTTAAAAAAACATTTTTTTAAATAATTGATTTTATTGAGGAATTGAAATTAAATTTTTAAGAATAATTATTCTTAAAAATTAATTAGAAAATAAAAATTAATTATTCTTTAAAAATTATTTACAGCAATAATTCCTGTAAATTTGTATTAAAAATAATTGAAATTCTAGCAATAAATTTTATTATTTATGAAAATAATTAAATAGTTGCAAAGAATTTTATTAGAAATTTTATTAGAACTTTATTATTTATGAAAATAATTGAATTCTATCAACGAATTTTAATAAAATTTTTAAGAAAAATTGCATTTTTCGAGAAATTCGATTAAAATTATATTAAAAATAATTGAAATTATGCGATGAGTTTTATTATTTGTGTAAATAATTGAATCTCTAAAAAAAATTTTATTACTTTTGAATAATATATTTAATTTTTGCGAAGAATATTATTATTCTTGAAAATAATTTAATTTCTGCAATAATTTGTAATTTTTACAAAATTCAATTTTTTTTCGTGTTTTTAACTAAACATTTTCTAGGGGAGAGTCTCCAGATGTGAGACACCTCCAGTTGTGAGACAGTCAATTTTTTTTACCATGCAATATTAAAAAGCCGATTGGTTTATAAAAAAACATTTCTTTTTATATGAGCCAACCTTTTCGAGTACGCCGAAGCGGATATATAAACTGTTTTTGTTAAATACCAACACTGTGTGTGATAATCGACTAAAAAGCGTTTTTTCAATAAATGCAAAGTACTTTTTTTCCAAGTTAATTAATTGGAAAAGGTAAATGTAATGCATTTTCTTTTAGTGTTTTCCTTATATTTTGTGATGCAATATTGCATTGTTCCAATCTACGGTTGAAAATAATTTAATTTTCCTTTTTCAAAATAGCGCCAATTTCTGGGTGTGAGACACAGCATATCACCAGTTGTGAGACGGTGTCAACACCCATCTGGGCAGCATAAAAAATACGACTTTACAGGCATACTATTTAAATGTTGTTTTGATTTTTTTTTCTAGTATTTTTGGGCATGTCAAGTGGAAAAAAGTCAATTGATTCAGAAGAAATCAATTTTAATCCTCTTGTTGAAGCTATTAAATTGTGTTTATTTGATAGTCATATTTTAGTGAATAAATATTATTATTTAGTATATAATAATATATATTATTAATATATTTAATTATTTTTACTAAACATAACGTTTTATGTCAAACTTATTAAATTTTAGCAATTTTTAATGAGTGTCTCACAACTGGAGACATTTTTTTTTTTTGAAAAAAGCGATGTGCTCGGAAAATGTATCGTAAAATTTTTTGAGTTCATCGAAACACTATACTTTCTTTTAATAAAAGTTGCGTATTTCTGTTACCTTTCGAACGGTGTATTTTATTTACAATTTCGTTTGCCCGTTTACAATTTACGGGTCAAAAATAAAACCCGTCTCACAACTGGAGACTCTCCCCTATAAATCCATTTTTTAAAATAATTTTTGAAAAAGTACTTCAAGAATTTTAAAATCTACTTTTTTACAAAATTTAATTTTACATAATTTCAATTATTCGTAAATTCTTTAATTAAATATTTGGAAAATAAAAACTTGAAATAATTTCAAAAGAAATTCAAATAAACTTTTTAAAACATTAATTCTACAGAATTGTTAGTTAAAAGTATGAAAAATTCTATTTTTCAAAGATTTTAAGTTGAAACATTTTCAAAATTCAATTATTTCTCAAAACTCCCCTCTATAATGTTTTTAATGTTCAATTATAATCTAAAGTTTTAACTGAAATCTATTTTTAAATCAATGTTTGTGAGAAAATTCTACTATAATTCAATTATTTAAATATAAAAATAACAATTTATTGAATAATTGCATGTTTCTTAAAATTAAATTCTCATAAAGAATTTTATCTATAAATTTTTAAATAACTGAATTCTTTTGACGAATCGTAATAAAATTTTTAATATGTACTTTTTGTTTTTTTATTGTTTATAACTTTATTAAAAGATATTAACAGGTAAATTAAAGTTGCAAGATTCTTTAATCCTATAGAAAAAAATAGTAAAAGAAAAAACGAAATCTTTTTGCTAATTTAGAATTTGTTTATAACAATTGTTTATAAAGTTGTTAAATAATTGTGGTCAATAATTTTTTATCTCAAAGATTTATGAAGAGAACAGTAAAAATGTCGGTGGAAGAAGACACTATTTTTCAGCTTCAATTGTTGGCAATTCTTAATTTGTCTATAAATTTGTTTATAACATTGTTAAATAATAATGTTAAACAATTTCTATCCTCAACATTCATTGCAACTATAAAAATGAGTGCCGTAAGGAAACAAAAGTTTTTTTCAATATTTGTGTCTTTTAAAAAACAATTTGTTTATAAATTATAAAAATTGTTTAAAATATTGTTAAATTAGTTATGGTGATAAAATTTTATCATATATGTCAATTTTATATTAATTTTAGAAATTTGTGACGAGAAAATGTGTTGCAATCTGTTTTTCTGACTATTCGAAATTTTAGATATTTTGGCCGCCATTTTGAATTTCGAAAATATTAAAATTTCTAATAATACCTAAATGAAAGGTCGTACATTTTGGACGCGATATTTTGTCATTACAAATTTTCCTGAAGCGATTTCCAATCGAAAATATAGTTTTAATAAAAAGAAAACCCAAAAATGTTGTGTTTTTTTAAACAATCATAACTTTTAATCCTGAAGTCAAAACTTAAATTTTCTTCCAGATTCTGAAAGAGGACTGAAAGATACATAAAAAACACCATGTGTAATTTTTTTTAAGCCCACCGTCTTTGAAAATGGTAAGTACAAACCAAGAAGGCTAGAGACAGGAGGTGAAATTTCGGTAGTGGGGATGAGTCAAGAGCCTTCCTTTAACCAGGCGTTTTTCGTTTCGAAAAGTCGCCGGCGCGGTGCTTCTGCACATCACTCACACATTCAAATTCTTGTATACCGTGTTTCACATGTGCACTGTAAAAAAATTTTTCTGTAGATTTACAGTTTTTTACAGGAATTTGTAAAATACCACCTTTGAAAGTAGCGAATTTACAATCCCTTTAGTAAAATTACTACTTTCAGCGTGTCAACTTTACAATTTTCTGTAAATTTACTACTATGAAAGTAGGTAATAATCAGTAATAATTTTGTCCTTTTATTACCTACTTTCATAGTAGTAAATTTACAGAAAATTGTAAAATTGACGCGTTGAAAGTAGTAATTTTACTAAAGGGATTGTAAATTCGCTACTTTTAAAGATGTTATTTTACAAATTCCTGTTAAAAACTGTAAATCTACAGAGAATTTTTTTACAGTGTGTATGATATGATTTTAATTTGAGGTTAACTTTAAAGTGCAATCGAGACACAATATGTGTCATAACGGATATATAGAAATAATGTGAGTGATTATTAAATTAAGTGTTATTCAAATAATTACAAATTCCGAAAACGTGCTGTGTGAAAAGTTGTAACAAAGAAGAAAGATAAACACAGCACTATGACTATTACTTTTTGTTAACTTTTAATACACTTCATGCTATAGTTCTCACATTTTTTTGATTTAAAATCTTTTTTTTAATAACTAAAAAATGTTTGAAAATATAAACACTTATATTTCATATTGTATTTGTATAGAATATATTTTCCTGTGTTTACGTGTGTAGCTGCGCAGAAGTCCGTGTGGTCTATTGCGGCGAAAACTTTTTTTGAAAGTAAACGCCTGACCATACATCAGCTGAGCAACTCAGCATTGCCATACCCCCACTACCGAAGTTTTACTTCCTGTCTCTATAGTCTTCTTGATACAAACACAAAGGAAAAAAAACGGATTTCTTGGACGAAATGGGTTAATTTAATTCTTAACAATGTTCCATGAAATCATTGCTGAAATTTACATGACAAAAGTTTTTTAAAGAAACATAAATATTTATTCTTAGGCTTCGATGTGTAAAACTTAAATAGTTATAAATATCATGTAATTCTGTTCAAATTTTTTTAAGAACAGGGTTGCCACAAACATTTAATATTGCTTTTCCCTGATTTCCAAACAAAACCCTAAAGAATATTCTAATTCACTCTAAAAATTATTAGATACCTAAAAAAAGTTCTATTTACTTTCATTTACGAATTTCTTTAAATGTAAGATTATTCAAAAATATCAATAGTTTTATTTAAAATAAGTATAAAACAAATTCAATTAAACTTAAAAAAAAATTAATTTCAAAATTCAATTATATTTCTAAAAAGTCATGGTATATCATTATTATTTTAATATTCATTTATTATCTAAAATTTTAACTAAATATAATTTTTAAATCAATTTTTATTCGAAAATTCAATTGAATTCATATAAAGAATTTTGATCCACAAATTTTGAATAATTGAATTCTTTGGACGAATTTTAATAAAATTTTTAAGAATAATTGCATTCTTCCAGAAATTTAATTGAAATTATATTCAAAATAATTTAAATTCTGCAATAAGCTTTATTATTATTAATAAAAAATTGAACCCCTAAAAAGAATTTTAATATAAATGAAAGTAATTGAATTATTGCGAAGAATTTTATAAACAAATTTTAAATAATTGATTTATTTCATAAAAATTTAGGAAAATTCTATTCTAAATAATTGAAATCCTGTAAAATTTTTATTATTTACGAAAATAATTGAATGATTGTGAAGAAATTTATAAAAAATTTGTAAATAATTGAATTCCTTTAAAATTTTTATTATTTATGAAAATAATTTAAGTCTTGACTAGAATTTAAAAAAAAATGAAAATAATTAAATTTCTGCGAAGAATTTTATTACTTTTGAGAATAATTGAATTCTTGTAATGAATATTGTTATTTATGAATAAATAAATGAATTTGGAAAAAAATTTCTAAAAATAATTGAATTTCTGCAAAAAATAATGATGAAAAAATTTTTTTTTTAAATAATTAAATTCTTTTGGAAAACTTTATTTAAATAGTAAACAAAATTATTGAATTGAAGAAAATTTTTGAAAATAATTCAAATTTTTAAGTGAGTTTTTAAAAATTGTTGAATATAATTTAATTTCTGCGAAGAATTTTATTAATTTTGAAAATAATTGAATTCTTGTAATGAATATTGTTATTTATGAATAAATAATTGCATTTGGAGAAAAATGTTTATAAATTTTCAGAAAATAATTGAATTTTTACGAAAATAATTTTTTTTAAATAATTGAATTCCTTTAGAAAACTTTATTAAAATAGTAAACAAAATCATTGAATTGAAGAAAATTTTTGAAAATAATTGAAATTTTGACAAGAATTTTATTAAATTTTTTGAGAATAATTTAATTTTGGAGAAGAATTTTATTACTTTTGAAAATAATTGAAATTTGTACCTGAATTTTTAAAAGTTTTTAAACATAATTTAATTTCTGCGAAAAATTTTATTACTTATGAAAAAAATTGAATTTCTGCAATCATTTGTAACTTCTGCAAAATTCAAATTTTATAGTGTTTTTAAATAAAATTCTTCTATAAATGAAATTAAAAAATTAAAAAATTGAAATAATTAAAACAATTTCAGAAGAATTTGAATTATTAAAATTTTAAAAAAATCCAAGTTCTTTAAAATTTCTAATAAAATGTTATTAGAAATTTTAAAGAACTTAGATGTTTGAAAAATTTTAATAATTAAAATTCTTCTGAATTTTATTTTAATTTAATATTTTTACTATATTTTATTTAATTTATTTACTTAATATGTAAGTAAAATTATTCATTAAGTAATTTTTGAGTAATAAATTTATGATAGTTCTTCAAGAATTAAATTATTCCAAAAGGAATTATTGTCAGAATTAGAAAAAATTTAAGGTTTTGTATTATAATTCGTGGTAATTTCATAGTTTATGAGGCAAACAAAAAGACACAAAAATTCTAAATTTTCTTATAAATCCTAAAATTTTAATTTTTTCTAGTAATTTTAATAAAATTCTCTGACTTTCCTGACCTGTGGCAACCCTGATGAAAAATGGATATAAATTAATAATTGTTTGAAAAACATAAATTGACTTTTGTTATCATTATTTAACAATAGAAAATAAATCTTTCAAAACAAAAATTAAAAATATATGTTGAATACATAATTATTATTTCATAATATTTCAGAAATGATTCCACTTGATACAAGCCTAAATCATTTTAATGTTTGTTTTTACATTCTTTTCAAAAATATATGGAAAATCATTATTTGTTAAAAATATTTACAATATTGGTTTAGTAATGTTTGAAAAAAAAATGCTAAACTATCTGGATAAGAAATAATAGTATGGAAAATTGTATACCTGTGTATTAAATTCGTTAAAGGTTCTATTAGCTTTTTGCCAAGCCTAGGTTCTAGGGGTGTCAATGCGCCAAACTGAAAATTGTAACATTATACTCTACAGCTCGCATACATCAGCATATTAGTGCAATGTTATATACAAGTCCCGCTTATATTATATTACACGGCACATTTATGGTTTTTAAGAAAAAAGTTCCAATCATTGGAATATTTCCAAAAAAGAACTTGCAGATTTTATTTCTCTATTCTTTAAATTAATTAATTATCTTAATTCATATTTAAATGATTTCAATGTTTAATATGAGGATTTATATACACATATACATAGTAAATATAAATTATGCATTGGAAATTTGGGTTTAGAAAAAAATAATAGGATAATATCAAGAATAATAACGATAGAATTTGCTGTAGATAATGATAACAATTAAAAATAAAAATTATTTAATTCATACAAAGGTTATATTAATATGACAAATGTTTAAAAATTATGACTATAATATTTATTTTTGTGCCACATGACCAATGTTTGCGATGCGAATTATCAAAAAACTACTGTAAGTTACTGCTGACTTAAAAAGAAAGAAATTTGCGAAATTTTACTAATTCTACAGAGCTGGACAGTAACAAAATTCATGAATACCTTAAACTAATTATTGTATTATAATTTTTAGTAAGAAAAGTTTAAATCCAAAAAATACAATTTTAGTTAAATTAGAAAAATAAGAAGGGGGATCTGACATCCCTTATAACATTTAGACAGTCAATCTTTTTCTGAATCGTCTCACAGTGGGAAAAAAATGTTAATTTTTGCCCAAAAATATGCCACCACTTAAATTTAAATAAAAATATGAGGCGCATGATTATTCCCCAAATGTCATTTGACCGAACTGTCATTCTACCGAAAACATCAATAGTTTTATTTAAAATAAATATTTAATCATTTTTTTATTGAAATTAAGATGTTCAAAAATTTCAAATTCAAACCTTTTTAAATTGAACAACTCATAAGAATATTATTATAAAACATAAAGAAATGAATCACTCCGAGTCTTCGGAGTAACAATATTCTACAAGAACATTGTTACTGTAATTTCTTCAAAATTATTTGTATCATTTCAATTCAATTAAAATTTTCTAGAATTTTTAACTAAAATTTTACTTTAAATCAATAATATCAATTATTATTCAATTAAACTTTTTCAAAAAAATTAATTCTACAGAATTGTTAGTTAAAATTACAAAAAAAATTTACATAATTCTACGAGAAATCAATTATTTAAATACAAAAATAAATTATATTGAATGTTTCTTAAAATTTAATTTTTACGAAGAATTGTATTAAAAACTTAAGAAAATATTTAATTTCTTTTATGGAATATAATTAAAAGTTTAATGAAATTTATTATATTGAAGAATTTTATAACAATTTTTTAAAATAATTGAAAACTTTTTGAAGAATTTTATTCAATTTTTTAAAAATAATTGAATTTTAAAATAAATTTTATTCAAATTCCTGAAAATATTTGAATTTTTTCGTCGAATTTTTCTATTCTATTCTCAAGGAATTTTATTAATTTTGAAAATAAATTAATTTTTTGCAAAGTATTTTATTACTTTTCAAAAGAATTGAATTCTTGTGATGAATATTGATATTTATCAAAATAATTGAATTTTGGAAAAGAATTTTATTATAAAATTCCTTATAATAATTGATTTTATGGGAAGAATTTATGCGATTTTGTTGTTTATCAAGCTAATTGAATTCTTTTGTAAAATTACTTGAAAATTTTTGAAAATAATTGACTTTCTGCAACGAATTAAATGTTATTTATAAAAATATTTGAATTATTGCAACAAATTTCATTGTTTTATTGAATAAGTGAATGTTTCTTAAAATTGAATTCTTTCCTCAAGTAAATCTGGTGATAAATTTTATGAAAATAGTAAATAAAATATTGAAAATTATTGAATTGCAAAAAACTTTTGAAAGTAATTGAACTTTTGCAAAGATTTTTATAAATTTTTGAGAATAATTGAATTTTTGGCGAAAAATTTTGCTATTTGTAAAGATAATTGAATTCTTGACGAGATATTTGCACGGAGAGAGAATATATATTAAATTTTGTAAAAATATTTTCAAATTAGGGAAAAAGTGCGACAAAGCGAAATTTTGATATAAAAAATACTAAACTTTAAAAAAACTTATGTGAAATATTAGTATAATTATATCAAATATCAAGAATATTAATTAAATTCTAATATAACTATAATAAATTTCACAAAACTTTTTTTAAAGTTTAGTATTTTCTATATCAAAATTTCGCTTTGTTGCACTTTTTCCCTAATTTGAAAATATTTTTACAAAATTTAATATATATTCTCTCTCCGTGTGTGAAAAATTTTAAAAATAATTGAATTTCTTCGAAAAATTTTATTACTTTTGAAAATAATTGAATTCTTGGGATAAATATTGAAATTTATGAAAATAATTGAATTTTGTAAAGAATTTTATTAAAATTCCTAAAAATTATTGAATTTCTGTGAAGAATTTTGTTATTTATCAAGATAATTGCATTAAAACTTTTGTAATAATAAATAATATTACAAAAAACAACCAACTTTTAAAAATAATTCAGATTTGTCTTCACCTAAATACTAATCTTACAAATTTTATAAATTTCATGAAAAATTTCAAGATTTGAAACTTTCAAAACAAAAGTTTCCAATTGAAAGTTACAACGGCACTTTGCTAAATTTGGTGTGAATTTATCATTAAAAGATAAAAGAAAAAAATAGGGGAAATTTAGGGGAAATTTTCAAAATAGGGTACGTTTAGGGGCCAAAATTAAAAAAGGGGACTTTTAGGGAAATAGGGGACAGACTGTGAAGCCTGTAAAAAATGACAATTCGAAAAAATGACATTTCGGAACAATAACGATTCGTAAAAATGACAATTCGTAAAAATAAAATTTTGCAAAAATGACTTTTCGCAAAAGTGTCAATTCGTAAAAATGTCGATTCGCAAAAGTGACATTTCGTTAAAATAACAGTTCGGATAAATGCAATTCGGTAAAATGACAGTTCACTCAAATGGCATTTGGGGAATAATCATGCGCCTCACGAATACTCCTAATTCAAAGTCGTGCTGTATACTCAATATTTAGTAAAATGGTTATTTCACTAAATATTTAACTAGTATTATCCCTAACGACCGCGTGTAGGGAAAATTATTCAATCCATACGCTCAAATGGGCTAAATTTACGGTCGAACCAATCTACCATCTTCTATATAAAAGCGCCATTTTTGTGAGTGCGGAATAAAATATTTTTTAAAATTAGTTATGCACAAATAATTTTTCAATATGTCCAACTCTGAAGTCTAACAAAATAATAAAATGTAAGCTATTTAATGTAGAATCTAGAAATCAATGTTTTTAAACCTTGATATGAGGTCAATTAGAGGTTGAGTCAATCGGCGACCCAATTTCATTTCGATCAGCGTTAATGTTGAAAACTGAGCACGCAAAATATCGAATTAAATTAATTCAAATGATTTCAGTATGAAAAATTTAAGTAATTTTAATGTTAACTCCAAACACTTTCTAACCATTAAGATCGCAAAGTTATAGTACATTTGTCACACCGTACAGGAAGAAGAATTTTTGAAACTCATTTTTGCCTTCAAAATATTGTTTTATAAATAATTTTAGACGACACGTATTTTTTTTATAAAAATAATTTAATTTCAAAGTTATAAAAATTCGAAGACTTTCAAAATTCACATCCTTATAACTTTAAAAAAAAAAATTTTTATCCAAAAAAATACGTGCCGTCTAAAATTCTTTATAAAACAATATTTTGCAGGCGAAAATGAGTTTCACTACCGAACATTCGATTAAAGAATTATACCTACACTTATTTCTTATATTTATGGCTTTGAACAAACATTTTTTTTCATCAAACTTGAAATTAATATAAAATAAATAAAACATACTTAGGCATTTTGATAAATATAAAATAGATATATGATGCATAATTTAAATAAAAATATAATAAAAATAATATTTTTAATTCCAAAGAAATTTTTGTTTGTAATTAATAAATATTATTTACAAACTGACCTTACAACGTTTAAATATATATAATTCAAAAACAATGATCGTGAAATAAAAGTAACTTGAATTTCTATTTCAGATATAAATGATGACGATAGATAGAAAATGATGGGAATTTTGTAAAAGAAAAATTAACTTACAAGTTTAATGATTTTAATAAGCATCCAGTTGTTTGTAGAAGTGGTCATGAGCTTGAAAAATACAGGAGCAAGACTCAAATAATTTTTTGGATTTTTTCTAGCCAGTTCACAGACAACATTGACAGCAGCTGATTGTACACCGCTATCTGGATCTTCGAGTCTCTCTTTCAGTCTAGGAAAAGCTGGCCTTAGAGCCTCGGGAAAACGTAAAAACACTTTGTACATCATTAACACTGCCTTCTTTCGAAGATAGGGTTTAGTTGAAGTTAACAAAGTCATTATGTCATTAACTAAATCTCTTGCAAGATCATGACTAATGAAACAAGAAAGACCACTTAATGCTAGACCTGCATCATATTGAGTTTGACTGTTCAAGTCCTTTCGAATCATATTTGTGGTCAACATCAATAACTGAAAACAAACATAGAATTAAGCATTTCATGTAAATTGGAAATAGTCTTGTTACCTAATTAATTTTGAAATTTAAAATATTACTTCAGTTTCTGTGTGGAAGCTCTGACTGGCAGCTAAGTATCCTATTCGTTTGTAAGTGAATTTTGGAGATGACATCACTTCAATAATATTGAAACCTGCCCAACTGATATCATATCCCAACATTTGTAGCTGAAAAATAATTTAGATTCAATTAATATTTAAAAAATTAGTAGAAAGCTCAGTTTAAAATGTAGGGGGGGCAATAGATTACGCTGGTTTACAAATTAAAAACTTTTTTTCGTCACTCGAACAAAACATTTTTTTTCGTTTAGTAGGTGTTTTTAGAGTAAAAAAATCATAGTTTTAATTTTTTCCCCTCAAAAATAACTGGGTTGACACTCTTTTCCTCATTTGAAATTCATTTTTAATTTTTAAAATAAGCCCCCAAAAACCCCCAGACATCAAATTTCATAAAAATCAAACAATTTTTTAAAAATTCGCTCACCATATTGGATCCGACATTTTGAATTTTTTAAATCTTCTACTTATATATATATATATATATATATATATACTAGGGGGGCTTCGCCCCCCTGCGCGCTTTGCGCGCCAACCCCCTAACTATTTTTAATATTTATTTTAATTTTTAAAATCATGTGATCTTAATATGATGGCATAGTAATAAGTTAGAGTAAATTATAACAGGAGATATTAAAAAAGATAACTAATAGAGAATTCTACTTTACGGAAGTGATTATAGTGTTAACTTTTTCAACTTTGACACTCCTTATAGTAAGTTTGATCATTCTTTTTTCTCAGTGTCAAAAGTATTATTGGGCCCCTTTTTTTCCTTGCAGTTGACATAAATGTTGACGTAATCTAAGGGCCATTAGGGGCTGTCCATAAATTACGTAAGACATTTTTTGGGTAAATTTGACCCCCCCCCTCGTAAGATATTTTACATACATTAGCGCCATTTTTCCTATTGTTCGTAATATCTTGCTGACCCCCCCTCCCCCTAAATGTCTTACGTAATTTATGGAAGGACCCTTATTTGTCCGTTTATAACCTGTAAGTAAAAGAAAATACCAAATTGACTAAAGATTTCGACGTAAAATAATAGACGTTTGTGGGCTTCATTTTTACCCGTAGGTCAAAACAGACCTTAAAATTGACCTAAATTTTGAGGAAACAGTAGGTCAGAGGGAATTTTCTTGTCAATTTTTAAAATGTAGGTCAATACTGACCTTCAAATTGACCTAAATTTTGAAAAAATATTAGATCAGTGGAAGATTTCTGGTCAAATTTTAACTTGTAGCAAAAAACTGACATTAAAATTAAAGTACATTTTGAGGACAGAAAAATAATTTTAATAGAATTTTTAAAAATAGATGTCAATTTATAACATCTTTTATTGATTGAAACTTAATATTGAAATTTCGGTCAAACTTCTTTAAAACAATAGGTCGAAAATTCCGTCAAATTTTAATATAAGGGAACGACTTTTTAAAAAGTCCTAATTAATTTGCTTTTTTTATGTGTAGGTTAAAAAATATGTCAAATTTGACCTAAACTTTAAGGAAAGGTCAGGTCAGAGGAAGTTTTTTCGACAATTTTTGCGGTGTAGATGAAAACTGCCTTAAAATTGACCTAATTTTTGGGGGCAGAGGGAATTGTTCGTCAATTTTTTCCGTTAAGGTCATAACTGCCCTTAAAATTGACCTACATTTTGAAGGTAAAGGGAATTGTTTGTCAATTTTTTACCTGTAGGTTAAAACTGCCCTTCAAATTAACCTAAATTTTGAGAGCAGAGGGAATTGTTTGTTAATTTTTGACCAGTAGATTAAAACTGCCCTTAAAATTGACCTAAATTTTGAGAGCAGAGGGAATTGTTTGTCAATTTTTTACCTGTAAATTAAAACTGCCCTTAAAATTGACCTACATTTTGAGGTCAAAGGGAATTATTTGTGAATTTTTGACGTTTAGGTCAAAACTGCCCTTAAAATTGACCTGCATTTTGAGGGCAGAGGGAATTGTTTGTCAATTTTTTACCTGTAGGTTGAAGCTGCCCTTCAAATTGACCTACATTTTAAGGGCAGAGGGATTAGTTTGTCAATTTTTTACCTGTAGGTTGAAGCTGCCCTTTAAATTGACCTACATTTTAAGAGCAGAGGGATTAGTTTGTCAATTTTTGACCTGTAGGTTAAATCTGCACTTAAAATTGACATAAATTTTACGGGCAGAGTAAAACGCAATTTTTAGCGCTTAGGTCAAAACTGACCTTAAAATTGAACTAAATTTTGAAAGAAGAGCGATAAGTTTGTCAATTTTTGACTTTAAGTCATAACTACTCTTAAAATTGACTTAAATTTTGAGGGCAGAGGGGTTAGTTTGTTAGTTTTTCACCTGTAGGTTGAATCTGCCCTTAAAATTGACCTAAATTTTGAGTAATTTTGACCTGTAGGTTAAAACTGCCCTTAAAATTGACCTGAATTTAGGTCAAATGTAACTTGTTTCTGACGATGGACCTACCTTGACAGTGGGCCAACCTTGACTATGTTCCCCCTACTATAAGGATCCCCCATTTAGTTTTCTTTGAGTCCTCTCAATCTTGGAAGTAGTGTGTTATCCCTCCGTGATGATATTCTAAGAGCATACTTGTTTAGTACCAGCATTCTTCTAATTTTCAAAGGTGGTTCATTCGCTTCAGGTACCCAGTAAAAAATACTAATTCAAACGGATTGAAATGAATTAAGATTTTTGGTAGAAAGCGGGATTCATTCAAGCTCTTTGTATATTCGATTGAATTCGATTCCATTTGCCTAAAGTTGTGCAAACAAATTCGCATTCGTAAGAAATGACCAAGGCATGCATTGAATTCGTGCTGACGAATTAAAAAAAAATTAAAGGCCCCAAAACTTGTTCATTGAATTAGTATGAATAGAAGGTTTGGAAGTTCAATACAGTTTGACGAATTCAGGAAAATTGCAACATATCTCCAATTCGTATTTGTCACAAAGCGGAATTCACCGAAACTCTTTGTGAATTCTTTTTAATTTATTTCAATTAGTTTTTGTTTACTGGGTAATAGGATCAGAATAGGAGTAGTTCTCATGCAACCTAAGGCGGTTCTAAGTTCCAGGTATTGAATTTTATTAAGTTTATTAAGGTTCGTTTTTATGCTCTTGCGAACAATGGTGCCCTCTATTCTAAATGGGCTCTTATCAGTCCCTTATAAACTTGTATCATAACCTCTGGATTGGCTCTTCAATATTTAGGTTCGTTTTGAGGATTGGGTTTAGGGTTCAGGAATGAACTTCACGAGAGCGACTCTCCAAGACTCAAGAAAACTGGAACTCATGAATCAGTCATTGAACAATTTCCTCATGTGTTCCAGACGTTCATATGATAGTTTCTCAATTGCTTCATAGGATATTTGGTCGACATCTGGAGAGGATTCCTTTTTACATGAATCCAACGCCAGCCGAAATTCCTCTTCCGAAAACGCTACATTATATGGGTTGACCCGCAATCTTCCAGTAATTGTCTTAACTGATCAAGAGACCATAAGACCTCATCGAGAAACTGTCCGGTCTACAAATTTGAATTCGAAGTGATGAAGGAGAGATATTTAAATAATATATCCGAGGATGAAGCACGGAATAAACTGTCCGAAAAGGGATGTATAAATCCAAGGGTATTCAATTTTCTCGAGGGAAGGCTTGTCATTCCGAATGACTTGAATGCACACGCCCCATACTTTGACCCTTTTGGGAGTAATGCTTCAGGAAGAGCGCTACAGGAAATCCTTGAGGTAAGAAATCTGGTAATAATGAATAACGGTGCACCGAGGTTTGGAAAGGTAGGCGTACGAGGGAGTGTTCTTGACCTCGTGTTGGTCTCCACGTCCCTCGGATGTATCTCTGAATGTTAGACGTCGTCAGATCCATATGGTAGTGATCATCTCCCGGTTTTTATTAATATTTAAATCAAGATTACAGATGCATGTGAGAGTTCTAACAGGCTAAGATTAGGCAAAGTTGATTGGGTTCAATTTTGTGAGCTGACTAAAAAAAACACTATCGGATACGCAACATGAACAGGGGTCTTACCTAAACGTAACGATCTTTAATCAAAAGTTTCTCAAATTGCTAAATTAAAAGAAATTACAGAAGCTCTTGATTCACAATTAAGAAAGGTGTTTGTTGAAGATAGCTTTGGTCATGATACTGATACTTTTGAAATTGCTGGTGAAATAAAAGATGAAATTGAAAAAACTAAAAGCGAAATCGTCAAATTTTTTTTGTCCTACCTGCACGAAAAGTATGTCATTTCGGGCACTTAAGGCGGGCGCAAAGTAACACATTACGCCCGGGAGTGGAGGAAGCGGGCGGAAAAGTATTTTGCGCCCGCTTGTATGACGTCAGCGGGCGGTAAAGTATTTTCCGCCCGCTTCCCCTACCTCCGAGCGGGCGGAAAAGTATTTTGCGCCCGCTTGTTAATTATTCGATTTTCTTCATTAAAATGCGACATTTTCGACTTTCTTTTTATGTTGACTATAGAACTGCAAACATTTTCAACTTGTTTTATTTTGTCTATAAAAATTTGCAATTTTTTTTTTATTTTCTCTAAAAAAATAATGAGATATTTGGTTTTGTTCCCATTTCGTTTATCAAAATTGTCAATTTTAAAAGTTCTTGTTTCAGTTTTGTTCAATTATTAATTACTACGTTCTAAATAAATACTATGTTTCCAGAATACATTGTTTTTTATTTCTATTTTAAAACTTCTATCATTATAGACTTCATTCGATATAATGTTTATATAGAGCTTAATTTTTAACTAATATGAGCGTTTAATCGTGCGTGCCCTCAATGCCATACTTTTCATGCAGTTAGGACAAAAAATTATGTTCGCATCATGGGCGCAAAGGTGATTACGACTTTGGCGAAATTTCGGGACCTCGGGGACACTTTCGCTCCCTCGGCTTCGCCTCGGGCGCGAAATTGTGTCCCCTCGGTCCCTTCATTTCGCCATCATCGCAATCACCTATTTTGCGCCCTTGTTACGAAAATAACTATTACAATGGTGCCAAAATCGTGGGGTGTACGAAAAATATCAGATTACTTTAATGTATCGTATCCATTAGCAAGCAAAGCTTTCTACTCCAGGTTCTTCTACAGATGTTT